TCTTATCATCTGAAAATTACCAGAGTTCTAGTAGGGACTGAACCCTACACAATCCTGAAGAATAGAGAATTTTATTTGAATTTTTTAGTAGTAGCACCCTCACCGGAACGCCATCAGACAATCAAAATTTGGTAAAAACGAAAATAAAAATTTATTTCATCCAAATTTATTCAATCTAATCATCTAAAAATTACCAGAGGTCTAGTAGGGACTGAACCCTACACAATCCTGAAGAATAGAGAATTTTATTTAAATTTTTAGTAGTAGCAGGTCCACCCGTACGACATCAGACAATCAAAATTTGTTAAAAAGAAAAATAAAAAATTATTTTATCCAAATTTATTTAATCTAATCATCTGAAAATTACTAGAGTTCTAGTAGGGACTGAGTACTACACAATCCTGAAGAATAGAGAATTTTATTTCCATTTTTTAGTAGTAGCACCCTCACCCGAACGCCATCAGATAATCATAATTTGTTAAAAAGGAAAATAAAAATTTATTTTATCCAAATTTATTTAATCTAATCATCTAAAAATTACCAGAGTTCTAGTTGGAACTAAACCCTACACAATCCTAAAGAATAGAGAATTTTATTTCAATTTTTTAGAAGTAGCACCATCACCGGAACGCTATCAGACAATGAAAATTTGGTAAAAACGAAAATAAAAATTTATTTCATCCAAATTTATTTAATCTAATCATCTGAAAATTACCAGAGTTCTAGTAAGGACTGAATACTACACAATCCTGAAGAATAGAAAATTTTATTTCAATTTTTTAGTAGTAGTACCCTCACCCGAACGCCATCAGACAATTATAATTTGATAAAAAGGAAAATAAAAATTTATTTCATCGAAATTTATTTAATCTAATCATCTGAAAATTACCAGAGTTCTAGTAGGGACTGAACCCTACACAATCCTGAAGAATAGAGAATTTTATTTGAATTTTTTAGTAGTAGCACCCTCACCCGAACGCCATCAGACAATCATAATTTGTTAAAAAGGAAAATAAAAATTTATTTTATCCAAATTTATTCAATCTAATCATCTGAAAATTACCAGAGTTCTAGTAGAAACTGAATACTACACAATCCTGAAGAATAGAGAATTTTATTTGAATTTTTTAGTAGTAGCAGGTCCACCCGTACGCCATCAAACAATCAAAATTTGGTAAAAACGAAAATAAAAATTTATTTCATCCAAATTTATTTAATCTAATCATCTGAAAATTACCATAGTTCTAGTAGGGATTGAATACTACACAATCCTGAAGAATAGAGAATTTTATTTGAATTTTTTAGTAGTAGCACCCTCACCCGAACGCCATCAGACAATCATAATTTGTTAAAAAGAAAAATAAAAATTTATTTTATCCAAATTTATTTAATCTAATCATCTGAAAATTACCAGAGTTCTAGTTGGAACTAAACCCTACACAATCTTAAAGAATAGAGAATTTTATTTGAATTTTTTAGTAGTAGCAGGTCCACCCGTACGCCATCAGACAATCAAAATTTGGTAAAAACGAAAATAAAAATTTATTTCATCCAAATTTATTTCATCTAATCATCTGAAAATTACCAGAGTTCTAGTAGGGACTGAACCCTACACAATCCTGAAGAATAGAGAATTTTATTTTTATTTTTTAGTAGAAGCACCCTCACCCGAAAGCCATCAGACAATCAAAATTGGTAAAAAGGAAAATAAAATTTTATTTCATCCAAATTTATTTAATGTAATCATCTGAAAATTACCAGATTTCTAGTAGAGATTGAATACTACACAATCCTGAAGAATAGAGAATTTTATTTGAATTTTTTAGTAGTAGCACCCACACCCGAACGCCATCAGACAATCATAATTTGATAAAAAGGAAAATAAAAATTTATTTTATCCAAAGTTATTTAATCTAATCATCTGAAAATTACCAGAGTTCTAGTAGGGACTGAACCCTACACAATCCTGAAGAATAGAGAATTTTATTTCAATTTTTTAGTAGTAGTACCCTCACCCGAACGCCATCAGATATTCATAATTTGTTAAAAAGAAAAATAAAAATTTATTTTATCCAAATTTATTTAATCGAATCATCTGAAAATTACTAGAGTTCTAGTAGGGACTGAATACTACACAATTCTGAAGAATAGAGAATTTTATTTCCATTTTTTAGTAGTAGCACCCTCACCCGAACGCCATCAGATAATCATAATTTGTTAAAAAGGAAAATAAAAATTTATTTTATCCAAATTTATTTAATCTAATCATCTAAAAATTACCAGAGTTCTAGTTGGAACTAAACCCTACACAATCCTAAAGAATAGAGAATTTTATTTCCATTTTTTAGTAGTAGCACCCTCACCCGAACGCCATCAGACAATCATAATTTGATAAAAAGGAAAATAAAAATTTATTTTATCCAAATTTATTAAATCTAATCATCTGAAAATTACCAGAGTTCTAGTAGGGACTGAACCCTACACAATCCTAAAGAATAGAGAATTTTATTTCCATTTTTTAGTAGAAGCACCCTCACCCGAACGCCATCAGACAATCATAATTTGATAAAAAGGAAAATAAAAATTTATTTTATCCAAAGTTATTTAATCTAATCATCTGAAAATTACCAGAGTTCTAGTAGGGACTGAACCCTACACAATCCTGAAGAATAGAGAATTTTATTTCAATTTTTTAGTAGTAGCAGGTTCATCCGAACGCCATCAGACAATCATAATTTGATAAAAAGGAAAACAAAAATTGATTTTATCCAAATTTATTTAATCTAGTCATCTAAAAATTACTAGAGTTCTAGTAGGGACTGACCCCTACACAATCCTGAAGAATAGAGAATTTTATTTCCATTTTTTAGTAGTAGCACCCTCACCCGAACGCCATCAGACAATCATAATTTGATAAAAAGGAAAATAAAAATTTATTTCATCCAAATTTATTTAATCTAATCATCTGAAAATTACCAGAGTTCTAGTAGGGACTGAACCCTACACAATCCTGAAGAATAGAGAATTTTATTTCCATTTTTTAGTAGTAGCACCCTCACCGGAACGCCATCAGACAATCAAAATTTGGTAAAAACGAAAATAAAAATTTATTTCATCCAAATTTATTCAATCTAATCATCTGAAAATTACCAGAGTTCTAGTAGGGACTGAACCCTACACAATCCTGAAGAATAGAGAATTTTATTTGAATTTTTTAGTAGTAGCAGGTCCACCCGTACGCCATCAGACAATCAAAATTTGGTAAAAACGAAAATAAAAATTTATTTCATTAAAATTTATTTAATCTAATCATCTAAAAATTACCAGAGTTCTAGTAGGGACTGAACCCTACACAATCCTGAAGAATAGAGAATTTTATTTCCATTTTTTAGTAGTAGCACCCTCACCCGAACGCCATCAGACAATCATAATTTGTTAAAAAGAAAAATAAAAAATTATTTTATCCAAATTTATTTAATCTAATCATCTGAAAATTACTAGAGTTCTAGTAGGGACTGAATACTACACAATCCTGAAGAACAGAGAATTGTATTTCCATTTTTTACTAGTAGCAGGTCCACCCGAACGCCATCAGACAATCATAATTTGATAAAAAGGAAAACAAAAATTTATTTCATCCAAATTTATTTAATGTAATCATCTGAAAATTACCAGAGTTCTAGTAGGGACTGAACCCTACCCAATCCTGAAGAATAGAGAATTTTATTTCCATTTTTTAGTAGTAGCACCCTCACCCGAACGCCATCAGACAATCATAATTTGATAAAAAGGAAAATAAAAATTTATTTTATCCAAATTTATTTAATCTAATCATCTGAAAATTACCAGAGTTCTAGTAGGGACTGAACCCGACTGAACACTAGCATGTGTATCTTAACACTTTTAAATAATTATTCTAAAATAAAAAATTATACAATAGGTATATATTGTATTGAGGAATCTAAATGATCATGAAATGATCAACTTGTTTATATCATGCAATATTACTCCTAACTGGAAGGTAATTGTTAAAAATTGTTTTGAGCAAATGAAAGAGAGCATATTTACTGAATAATCTTTCATATTAATTTTATATTTCATTTAAAAAAAATAATTTTTATTAACTTTATAATTTGAGCGTGCCGTGCGATAATGATGTAAAGTATTTATTTTTTGTTGAGCTGCGAATTGACCACAATGGTAATCGATCGACAAATCGTGTACTTTTTGATTGTGCAATATAACTTCTAAACGGCATAATATTTCAGATATATTCAGTGATGAAAAAGAACTACTTTTTAGAAATATTGTTCGTTATTTTTCATTATTTTGTTGAAATTTTTTTTATTATTTACGTGGTATATTACTGTAGAGGAAGAGTTTAATAGCGCCCCTCACAGCCATTTACATTTTGTCGATAATGTAAAATTTTTAGCGAAATGATAAACAGCAGTGACAAATGTCAAAATAAAATTCAAAAATTTATCATCTGAATTAATATTATATTGGCATGCCTCTTTCTAGCTTTGAGAAACTTATTCTAAAAGGAAGAAAGGTTATTTTCATTCTATTCCGCGTAATATACTCTCGAAATATAAGCATGATTTTGAAATATAAGTCAAAATAATGAGGTTAGGTTGCATGTTTTTTATAGAGTCGCGTGTAATCGTAGTGTATATATCTCCCTATATTACAATTTGAGACAAATTGTTAACTTAGTGAATAAACTTTATCTTGTATTATCGAGTCGAAACAACTTTTACGTTAACATGTGTGGATCTACCTAATGAATTCATTAATCAGAATCTAATCAACGAATACATAAAAGGTCAATAACTGTATTGCACGTGTAAAGATATTTGATATGATTTTAAATAACTTATGCTAAAAAATTATTATACAACTGATTAAACAAAAAATAATGTAAATATTTCACAGTAATTACATTAGCGACTTGATCAAAGAAATTATAGAAAGCATTTATCATTTTGGAGAAAAAGATTTATGACATGTAAGCTAATTTTAGAGCTAATTTTTAACAGATCGAAATCTGTTAACTGTAAGTTTATTATTCAAATCTCTCGAGGAATAAGGACGTGAATGGTAAATATTTTTATTATCGAAAAACATCTGCAACTAATTTGTATAAATGTAAATTAACTAAGTTTCAACATTAACTCTGTTACATTTGGTGTGTAGAAATAAATTTCTGTTAAGTAATTTATAACAATAAACTTGTATCATTTAAAAATAATTAAGTTTATTATGGAAAATACTTTCGATTCCAGGAACACAAATAGTAAATACACTACTTTGCTATTTACTGCAAGTACTCGAAGTGAGAGGGAAAAATGGACAATACAACAATTTCCATTCTGCATACAACAAACTTTCAGTTTCTTTCTGTTTGTCACTATATAACAAGTTTTGGATTATTTTTCTACAATCAGAATCTCATTCCTCTGGAGAATCGTAATCATTCAGTATCTGTATTAAATACATTTTTTGATTACATCCACAATTTGGAAAATGCATCTTCAACAAAACTTGAACTCCTTCAGAGAGTGTTGGCAGGAAGCGATCTTTACGGAGGAGGCGAAAATGAAACACTTGACATGAAATATGTCGAAGAAACATTTCAGTACATCATTAGTAGTGCTCTCTTTTCCCATTATGGTAACATTCAGGGTTACTTGGCTGGAATAATTAGTCGAGCAGAAAACATAACATACACGGAACTCAAGAAAAACGTCTTGCAACAGTTTTCCAAAAATTACAAAAGTCAGGATTACTGTTCTTCTAGAAAGGAAAGTATACAACTGACGTCGATCGCAATTCAATCTGTGTTTAATCAGAACATTTGGTCAATGTTTCCAGAACCAGAAGAAACAATCGAAATAATGGACGTTAATTATATATACGCAATGATTGGTTTAAAAATTGCCCGTTCTGTTCCTAATGTAAGTACAAATCTTCCTTTCAATGGTTATATTCTCCTATCCCAAGAATTTGAATTTCAAACGACTGAGAATAAATCCTATCAATTAACTCTGGAATTATTTAAAACACCAGCTTTATTTTATTACGCTTACGTCAAGAAGGACTACTTCCGTAAAGATGAAATATCAACTCTAATGAAGAGAGATAAATTTTGGCAAAGGGTCTATAAAACGTTCTTCCGTTTCCTACATCGTTCCCTAAAAATACAAATAAGAGGAGAAATTAAGAAGAGTCACTATTTTAAACTCAAACGTGAGATGCAAGAAATTAAAAATAGAACATTTATTGCCGCTGAAATAATTAAAAAACTTTGCAATTACTCGAATATTGACGAAGTTCCTTCAAACTTGATTTCCATTTACAAAACGTCAGAATGGATGTTTAAATTTATTATTGCTAGGGAATGTAACATTTCCAGAAGATTAAGATTACCGGATTTAGAAGAAATATTTAATTCTCAGTTTGATACGGTGAGAGATATATTCAATCAAGTTGAACAGAATTCGTTAGATCAGATTCTACTCGATGGGAAATTGATCGAAAAAATGAATTCCAATTCAACTGTTCAATTTGCATCAGTACCACACCATGATATGCATTGTATGTACTGTGCACCATGGCCAAGAAAAATGAACAGTGACATTTATCTCATGTTCACAATAACTGAAAACGAAGAAAAGAATTTTTATGCCATTAGACAGGAGAACAATACTTTGACTTTACTTTCAAATAGTGGAAACGAATCGGAATTTTCCAGAGCAGTCGCTAATGACTCAACCTTAAGAATGGAAGTCCAACAATTTTCTCGGTACCTCAAATATCGTGATGAAGATTACAAAGTGTTTGTTCAAAGGGTAGCGGATATTAAGACTGAACAGTTTGTACAGGGTCTTAAGAAACATTACCGAAATCCGACTAGTGGGGAGAAAATAATAGATTTTGTGAAATCATTAGTGCCATTTTATACCTGTATTGAAAATATAAATTCCGGTCATCAAGGGGCAGCAGCCTTCAGTTGTTCCCTTGATATCTTTAGTCTTCTTCCAATAGCTGGAGTAGCAGCAAAATATTCATCCATTATGTGGAGGAGTTTGATTGCTAAAATTGGACCCCAAACTTTATGGAGTCTTTCAAGATCTACATTCAATAAATTAACGATATCCACCGGTTTGGATCTAATACACAAAATTGTGTTTAAAACCCTAACAAGGGAAATTCTAACCAAACAACTTCTGATAGACATCAGTATCGCCTCCCTACGAACATTGGATCCTGGATTTGAACTATCATTTAAGTTTTTAAGATTCTCCAATCAAGTATTTAGAAAAATTTATCGGATGTTGTCCTCAAAGTTTGGAAGTATTCCGAAGATTAAAAATCTCCTTCAAGCTTTTGAATCTGCGATGAGGTTGATAAACAGAAATGCGGAATTATTACCTGATGGAACTGGACTAATTCCGAAGATTATTCAACATCAGAATGATTATAACATCGTTAGATATATTTATCCCGGTGGCACAGAGTATTTCGGACCGAAGTGCTTAACAGCTTTTGGAAAAACTGCCGAACTGAGAACAATCGAAGGGAACAGATTTCAAGTTCCTGTAGTGTCCTCAAAATCTGGTAATTCAGTCTACTATGGGGAACTGGATCTGAAAAGTGGCCAAGTTTCTACGGAGAAGCTCAAAATAGGAAGAGACGATATTCTTCGCAAAATTGGGAATTATATCGATGAAGCTATAGTAGAAGGAAGAGATGTCAATGTCTTACGTAATTATCACGTGTATCATAATACAATTGAGTTGTATAACCAACCTAACAAAGGGGGTTCAAATACGATTTCTAATCCCCTTGTGGACCAAAGAAATTTAATCGTAGATTCGGAAACTTCTGGAACGTCATCAAGGCAGTTGGCAAATGACGATATTGCTAGAACATATAGAGGCGACAACATTGCACATAGTACCAGTAGCTTTCGTTATTTCTATCAAACAGACATCGATAGAACAATAAATTTACTGAAGGATTTTAAAGAAAAGGGATTATTGGGTTTAAATTCCGACAAGAATTTGGCATTATTTCGAAGAATTCTAAATTCGATGGACTCTTATCAATTAACGAAAAATGCGAAGAAACCACCAGTTGATTTATGGCTAACCCAAGAAATAACAAGACCATCAATTGTTAACACTTTAAAAAACCTAAAAGGAAAGGAGTTTTATTTTAATGACCTTACCCTACTGACAGATGTTAATCCCACCGACATAATTACTAACAAATTATCGAAAACTCCTTTAAAAACGGAAGTTCGTTATCACATTCATTTTAATTCGCACTATGGACTTCTCGATCTCGGTGCATTTCATGATACTATCAAAAATCAATATATTGTATTTCCGCAACTCGAATTTGAAGTAATTGACACCCAATATTTTAATGGAAAGGATTATTTGGTTTTGGAACTGAAACAGAAAATTCTATCAAAGGAGGAATGGTCAAAGTTTAAAGATTGGGATACAACAGTACCTGCGAGACGGGAAATTTTACAGTCCACAAGAGCTGATAGTATCGAAAGAGCAGCACTCTTTGTATCATCCAATACACCTTTGAAAAGATTTAGCGAAACGGAACAATTTTTAAAGCAATACATTCTAAGAATTGATGACAATTTAAATTCAGTTTTTACTTATGACACGTTGGCTAATGATATTTATGCTGGTGGTACAATTCCGGAAAAATACAATCAGTGGAAAATAGACAACAACATGTTTATTGATGATATTCTGTTTCAAAAATCGTTACATCAGGTTGATACATTAAAATCCGCGGAGCTTACGATAAACAACATATTTGGAGGAATTTACAAACAGGAAGTGAGACCTGTTTTTGAAATTTATCATAATTCACCGGAAATTAGACATTTACTTCGCTTTGAGGATTACTACGTTATCTATTCATTTATAACTTGTAATTTATTATCTGATATACACGCACTTAAGCGTGTCGATGCAGCAATTCGAAGACTAGCTTTAAGACAGTTTGACGAACAATCATCTAAAAATTCCAAAATAATTTATCGCGCTGTGAATCTTTCTTTAGAAAAGTTTAGTGGTATTATAAATCTGAAGACTGGTGCTGACTTCAAATTTCCCCAAATGCAAGAATTTCATTCGAATCAAGAAACTGTGTTGAGTAATTGTCGTGATACAAGGACATCAGAAAAATTAGTACTATTTGAAGTGAAGGCAACAAATATGGCTGGAATAGCGGATATTAGTGCCGTTGTAAGTGATCCAACTTTAGAATACTATATTTCGGAGGAAATACAATTGACGATAGTTAATAGAAGACAGGAAGTACTGCAAGGAAGAGATGTTTTTACTGTGACCCTTCAAAATGATAAACAACCAATAGAAACACGAATGGTTGAATTAATAAAAGAACTCGATAAAATATTGGCAAGTGGTACCAAATTTTATGTCGACATGTGATAATTAGTTATTTTTTTCTGTCGGGTATGGAAAAAAAATAATTTTATTACCACCTAACGGATACGTGAGCATAATTTAAAACTTTCAAAAAAATAAATTCAAGTAAACATTTTTATGTAGAATCGAAAGCACGAAAGAGGAATAAAATAATTTTTCAAAAACAATTTTAGTGGCGTCAATAAATTACTTTATTACATTCTTTTTGATAAATGGAAAATTTCACGATCGAGAAAAAATACTTATTTGATAATTCTCTAGTTGCAAGGTGACCCGAGACAGATCACCATACATACGGTAAGCATTCTTTTTTTTATTAATTGTAGAGAAGTACCTATATATACTAATGATTTTGTGGATTCGCGTTTAAATTATGAATTTACAGAACAAATAGTAGAAGAAATATCGTAACGCATTTTTTTAAAAAGAAAGCATATATTATTTATATATTCCACCTAATATATTATTCCACTTTTCTGTGGAATAAACATTTAAATAATGTAAAAATGGCGAAGTAAAACAACAATGAATAAAATCTATCCTTATGACCCCAGGTTACCCTACACTGACCACTATATGCTACGCTTACATGGGAATATACAAAACTAAATGTATATAAAAGCTGCAATCGTCAGGCAAACCATGACCCAGAGTTAGGCTAACCAAAAGAATGTTATGTTTACTGTAATTATTTTTTCAAGTTTTGCAAACCGTTGGTCCAACTTTTGTCTAGAATTTGTTCAATCAAAAAATTTTAATCTCTTTAAACAAAGTTTCTCGAAGTTTTCCAATCACCGGACCAACCATTGCCCAGAGTTTGGCCAATCAAGAAATTTATGTTTTTTAAACTACGTAATTGTTGACACAAATTTTGTCAACCGTTGGACCAACTATAGACCAAAATTTGTGCAATCGAAAGTTTAAGTCTTTTAAACTACGTTTCGATGAGTTGTGTCAACCTTTGGGTCTAAAGTTGGCTTGATGGTTGGTTAAACTCAGCATCTAATGGTTGCTCTCTAAATCTGAATCAGCGAAATTTCACTGATTCTCAGCGATAAGTATGCCACTATTTTAAAACAGCGTATATGCGCTAATTAATCAGTGAAGTTTCACTGATTATTTAGTGAAATTTCACTAATTCACAGCTCATATACGCTAATTGAAATAGTGGCATACTTATCGCTGATTCAGATTTAGAGAGTGTGTTTATAAGTCTGGCCAATCATGGGCTCTTGCATCAGTCAAAGTTGTGCAAACTTTGGCAACCAAAACTTCGCATGCTAAAGTTAGACAAACCTTCAAACTCTGTCGAAGAATATAAATTCGCATCTGAGTATGAAATTACTAATAAAAATTACAAAGTTACAAATTATTTAAACTTAGACCATTTACTTAACATTTCGCGTATTTAATTATAGCATCCAGCCCCTCAATTTAATTAAATAAAATAAATAATGAAGTTTACAATATCAAAATTGGTTAAGAAATTATGGAAAATATGATTTTTTTGAAAATTTTGTTGAAAAATGTAAAAGTAACTTTTAAAATATCGTTACCAACTTGTAGAGCATTAAAAACGCTTCGATTGACCTATTTTTGAACCTAATTCAATAATAAATTTCGAAATTATTGGTATTTTAAAAACCAACAATTGTGGAAAACGACATTTTCTCAACTTTTTTGTTTCAAAACTTTTCTTTAAAATTTCTCGAGAGTGACTCCCGCGAATTTCTCGGTTCAATTCCCGGGAACTTTTTAACGTAGAAAGAATTAAATTTAAACTTCTTTTTATGACAATTCTAGTTAGAATTCCGTTACTCATTTAGGATTTTTACTAAAAATGTAATGTAAATGTAAATTTTGTATACGTTATTGTATGATTAGTTTTGTATATATCATGACGTATGAAGCTATTATATAGAATTTTCGACATTGCCCGAAAAGTTAAATGGTATGAATATTTTTAGATATTGACCGGGCAATGTCGACAATGCCCAATAATCGACAATGACCGTAACATATATATAAATTCACCCGATACGTTCTGATATACCTTCTACTTTTTTAAATCGTTTTTCTGAAGTACTATTAAGTTATCCCCAAACGTGTAACTTTTTAAACGTAAATGAATTTTCAAAAGTTTAATAATTATTCTACGGAGACGCATGAATATTTTCTAAATGACAAGTAACCGAACTGTCATTTAACTGAAATGCATGTAACCGACCTGTCATGTAACAGAATTGTTATTTGACCGACCCGTCATTTAACAGAATTGTAATTTGACCGACGTGTCATGTAACAGAATTGTCATTTGACCGACCCGTCATGTAACAGAATTGTCATCTGTCCGACCTGTCATGTAACAGAATTGTTATTTGACCGACCCGTCATGTAACAGAATTGTCATCTGACAGAACTGACATGTAACAGAATTGTCATTTGACCGACCCGTCATGTAACAGAACTGTCATCTGACCGACCCGTCATGTAACAGAATTGTGATCTAACAGAACTGACATGTAACAGAATTGTCATTTGACCGACCTGCATTTAACAGAATTCCCAGTGTGCACGTTCTGGAACAATTCCGGCACCGTTCTGTAACTGTTCTTTATTTCCATTAACTGTTACAGCACAGTTCCAGAACGTGCACACTGGGTTGTCATTTGACAGAACTGACATGTAACAGAATTGTCATTTGACCGGCCGGTTATGTAACAGAATTGTCTTTTGACCGAACTGATAAGTAACAACTGTTTCGTAACAACACATTTCTTGGAAATTTACAGGAATTCAGAGAAATTAATACAAATTTCTATGAAAAGGGTTGTTACAAAACAGTTCTGTTACTTGACAGTTCTGTCAGATGAAAATTCTGTTCCATGACAGGTCGGTTAAATGGCAATTATGTTACATGACGGGTCGGTCAAATGACAATTTTGTTACATGACAGGTCGGTTAAATGACAATTCTGCTACATGACGGGTCGGTCAAATGGCAATTCTGTTGCATGACGGGTCGGTCAAATGACAATTCTGTTACATTACAGGTTAGTTACATGCATTTCGGTTAAATGACAATTCGGTCACTTGTCATTTGGGAAATATTCATGCGTCTCTATTCTGCGTTATTAAATTCGTAATTTTATTACAAAATTTTGTACAAAAACGAAAACCTTTTAATTTCAGAAAGTGTAATATTGCACATAAACATACTTATGGTATAATACAACTATTCAGTTGTTATCCTACAATTCAATAATTAAAAGTACAAGAAAACGAAAAAAATGGAAATTGCAGGACCCACTATTCAGGATCCAACTGGTTTTCAGTTTCTTTCCGTTTGTCACTATGTTCTAAAATTGGGAATATTCTTTTACAATCAAAAGTTAATTTCCCCCGAGTGGCATAATCATTCTACTTTTATTTTAAATAGATACTTTGAGTACATCCACAATTCTGAAAATGAAACCGAGACAAAACTTCAACTTCTCCGAGGAATCCTTAATGGGACTGATCTCTATGGTGGGGGCGAAAATGAAACACTTGATATGAAATATGTTAATGAAACATATCAGTACATCATTAGTAATGCTCTCTTTTCTCACTATGGCAACATTAAAGGATATTTGGTCCAAATAATATACAAAGCAGACAACATAACTTATTTATCACTTAAGGAGAATGTGTTATGGCATTTAGCAAAGAAGTACATGGGTCGAGAATATTGTTCCTCTAGATATGAGAGTATTTCAATTACTAATTTAACAATGCAAAAAGTTTTCAATGAAAATATTTGGTCATTATTTCCCGAACCGCAGGGGAACCCAGAAATAATGGATACTAATTATATATACGCAATGATTGGTTTAAAAATCGCTCGTTCTGTTGAAGCTACTGCTGTGAATCTAACATTCGACAGTTATATTCGTTTGGCAAGAGAAATGGAATTAAGATCTTTTGAAAATAAAAACTATAAATTGGTATTAGAATTATTTGAAACGCCGGCATTATTTTATTACGCTTATAAAGAGAAGAATGCAATTCTTATAAAGTATGGATTAATTTTTTGGAACGAGATAAATTTACACAAGGTATTTAAAACATTCTTTAATTCTTCTGCAATTTTTGTCAAAGAAAATGAAAAAATTGAAAGCATAGAATCATTAGAAAATGAATTAAAAAATTATAGAACATTTAAAAATAGAACATCAATTGCCACTGAATTACTTAAAAAAGTTTGTGAATATTCAAGTAATAATGATGTTTTATCAGTATATGTATCCATTTATAAAACTTCACAATGGTTATTGAAATTTCTTCTTCCGGAGCGTTGTCAAAAAATCGATCTTCCTGACTTAGAAGCTATTTTCAATTCACAATTTGATTACCCAATGACGTTATTTAATAAATTTTATCAGATCTATTTTAGAGAGGCATTTAAAAATAAGAAAGTAATTGATAAAATTAATTTAAATTCTACTGTTGAATTCGCTAATGTTGTGCAAAAATCGACTAACTGTTCTTTCTGTGTTCCAACAGAAAAGAAAATAAATGCAGACATTCTGATTATTTTCGCTGTTATAATGAACAATCAGACAGAGTTTTATGCCCTTAAGCAGACCAGTAATGGTTCGATTTTGCTTTTAAATAGTAAAAATAAAGAACAATTTGCTAGAAAAATTGCTAACGATACCACCTTAGAAATGGAAGTTCAAAAAGTGGCAAAAATTCTTAAAAATCATGATGAAAATTTTAATGTTTTTATTCAAAGATTAGCGGATGTGACAACAGAAAAGAAAATAAATAAATTGATATCAGTTGCCAGGAATCCAACAATGATTGAGGAAAAAGTAGAATTCTTAAAATCGTTGGTACCACTTTATACTTGCATGGAAAGTAAAAAATCCGGAAACCAAGGAAAAATATTATTAAGTTGTGGTCTAGATGCTCTTAGTCTTCTAGGTAGGAACGATAAAGATAAATATTTGAAAATTACATGGAATAGTATAATTGCTTACGCAGTAAAACAAATTTCGTCAGTATTTCAAAAATTAAGATCACAAAATAAAAATAAGGAATCTGAATCACTATCGAATATGAATAATAAAATTTACGAGAAAGATTTTCTAATTGCTTCAAGAAAGAATTTAACTGAATTTATTGATAAATATAAATATAACCTTACACTGCAAACATTAATTCCTGGTTCTGAACTATCTTACCAAGTCTGTGGATCCACTAGTCGGTTTCTTCGAAAAATGATACGTGACGCATTTTCAAATTTAATAAAATTTCCAGAAATTGTAGATTTTCTATTCTCAGTGAAATTTGCCTCAAGTATTACCATTGGGAATACAAGATTATTCCCTGATAGTACTGGACTTATACCAAGAGTTGTTAAGTACGAGAAAAAATTTAAAGTCGTTAGATATTTTTATCCTGGAGGATTGAACTATTTTGGACCAAAATGTCAAGTATCAGTTAAAAGAATTGCTGAAGTGAGATATGTTAGTGTAACCCAATCTAGAGCAGGTGTAGTGCTGGTAGAATCTGATACGGGTGTAATTTACAACTTGTATAATTTGGGAGATGACACATTATCACCTACCTTTCTTACAAAGTCGTCAAATGATAGTCTCGTATTGCATGATGTGCCAGTTACTAAGAATGGGAGACCAATAAGTAAATACTAGGCAAATGCCAATATTCCTAACAATTCTGAACGCAAGTAGATTCTGTCATTCTTAAAGAAATTCGACGGCGAATATTGTAAATGTTTTTTTTAATGACACAATTGTAAATGAAGATGTTAGAAGTAAATAAACTATAATAAAATTTTTGTAATGTAGTATAATTTTATTTATGGCATATTCTACTTTATACAAACAACCTTATAAAGTGAAAAATATTGGAGAGTCTCCTGAATTCTTAGTTTTCTTAAAATCAATTATTTTATAATTTTTTAATTGCTGTAAAATAAAAAAGAAACATTGTATAAGACGTTTATAACAGAAAATAAATTATGAATTTTCTTTCTCGCCTAATATTTTACGCAAAAAATTAGTCGACCTTCTGCATCGTCAATAAAATTTATCCCTTACACGTGTAACTGCAAAGAAATAATTTGTTCTGTCATGATATGGTAATAAAAAAAAATTTTTTATTTTTTTAATATCGACTACTTTAAAATTACCAACACGACTTTCTAATCTACCGAAATTGCGCTCGTACAAATAAAATCTGGAAGTTAATGACTATTTTACCACTATTGGCTCATAAACACACTTTTATCCAAACAATTATTAACATTACTTTATGATTCTATTAACAAACCAAAATATACTTAATATAGTATAACGGGTGTCTTATTTATCTTTGTTAATATTTGAGAATTTATCAATTTTATCACTCAACGCGAAATTATTTTATTCAAGAATTTATTTTTATCTAATTTAGAATCCACAAATTACACAAAACACACGTTACTTTTGTTGTTTTAATTTATTGTCCGACCCCAGAGATATTTTATGGAAAAATATTCAAACCGATTAAGTAAATAAAATTACGCTAGCTAAATCTTTTCAAGGAGAGCGCGGGGTAAGAGAAATCACCAGTTAGTTTTAATTTTGGTTTAATAAACAAGAAAATTACAGGTCTAGACGACACCAGTTCAAAATGTACAGAAATGTCGTAAAACAAAATCAAATGAAACACATTTTATTTTGATCAATAATTATCAGGAGACAACACATTTAATTATTACGAGACTCACCGGAGATACGCCGCCGTCCCCGCATCGTTCCCCGACTCATTCTCGCAGGAGAAAAACACAAGATTACTTTATTAATTTTTAAGTCTCATGCGACCTATCACTTTTATGAACGCCAAACTGAGAATGAATTAAATGGCCGACGGGGACGCCGAAGCAGACGCGCTTCGTGGTGAGTCTCACGCGCACTCGTTACAAGGATTTTCCGATGGTAATCGATGCGCGACAGTCAGTAATTAGGTAATTTATCGACTGTCGGAAAGAGTTCACAAAGAGTTCGTTTAGTCTCCGCGAGGGGCACTGCTCGACGACATCTGGTCAGCAAGATGGCTGCGGCCAGTGTTTTAACAGCTGATGTCTCCGTCGATGGATATTTGTATTTCTGTCACTCAGTATGACCGGTATTTATTTCCAGTAATAAATACAAGGAAGGACATTTCTTGTTGGACAAATACGAAGTAATATATCGACAGTTATCCCGAAGTTTGAAAATCAGGAACTCGCAGTGATAATTTTTACATGAAATAATAAATCGAAGTATCAGTTTTCTTATGATTAATTAATTGTTTTGACCAGCGATCTGACGGTTCGCAAAAATTACAAGATTTAATAAAAGAATATTTTTCGGAAGGAGAAAATAATCAGTGATTCTCGATTTGGCGTGATTATTATAGAAATTTACAGTTTACTATTGACAAAGAAAGTTAGTTTGTATGCGGCAAATAAAATGCCTCGTTACAATAGATATGATTTTATAAGCAATGTCAAACAATTTTCTATTCCTGATGATCATATTTTAATTAGTTTAGATGCTGCATCTTTGTTTACAAATTCTAACTTCTTACTCACTTTTTTAAAGGGGAAGTCTTGTCAAACCGAGGGTTTTTTACAATCTGTTTTTTCAAATAATATTATAAATATTCTTATTAACTAAAATTTTTGTACATAGAAGAGAACATATTGAGAAAAAGACTGGACATCTTTAATTTTTAGAGTTTTAATTTTAATACTGTACTTGATAATGAATTGTATTGGAGGAGTATTGGTCATCTAACAACTTTCATCATCAAAGACTTTTAATATTTTTTGGAGTCTACAATTCAACGTTTAAAAATTTCTCTTGCTTTTATACATTTAAATTTCAATCCCATATAAGTCATTAGTCAGCGTCGAGGATCAAGAGAATATTTCTTTTGTTATATCAAAATACGTTATTATTATTGTTGGGAATTAAAAACTGATTGTCATTTTTTTGTTTTATAACGAGTCTTCTTAGAGAGAAATAAACAAGATAATTTTTTTATTCGTCGATGTGAAATCATTGAGAATAGACATATTTTTTTGTAATTTTCTAACTTAAGTATATTTTGTGACTAAAATTAACTTTTTAAATTTAAATAATTATAACTAAGTAACTTTGAGATTTGAATAATTTGTGATTTGAATATAATTTTGGAATTTCTTGATTGGATTTTGGATCTTGAGATTTCGTTGCAACCAATCATCTTTAAAAAATAATTCTGGTAACAATTTTGTTTGATTTATGAATATCTAGATGACAGTTTTTTTTCAATTTAGTCGTAACAACTGATTTCAAGATACTGCCATCATTTGCCATAGCAAGATCGTCTAGCGCTTAATTTTTGATTTCGCGAAGAGTGACAGCATGACTTGAGCGGAGAACTGGTGGAATCTGATCAGGACCATCACTTTTATTAACTTTCAAGTTCCTTAATTATACCGCAATCATTTCTTTACTTATTGTATTAGCATTAATTGTAAAATTATTATCGAAATCAAATTAAGAAGCAGGTATATCTTCCGCAAATGTTACTCCCAGTGGTCGCGGCAACATCCGTTGACGTTTACCGAGACGAAGTAATGAATGAAATTTTAGAGCATTACAGAAAACAAAAGATTTAAAAACTTGGTAATTAAATCAAAATTTGATAAACTATTCGAGGTACTTGGATTCGCGCAGGGAATATGCTATGCATATTCATTCATATCACGAATTTTTCTTTGCATGCCTTCGATTTTACCAGACATGTTAGCAGCATTATCATGAGATTGCCCTCTTCAGTTACTAAAATCAATGTGAGAAGCATATCTGTTAGATATGATGCTACAGTTTGAGCTTGATTTTCACAAGTATGGGATTCAATATTCAGAAATGTTAAAAAGTTTTCAACTAGGTTTTCAGTAGCTGGGGAAACATATGATAAGAGTGGTTTCATCAATGTGTGATAAATTTTGAGTCGAATTTACAAAACCCTCGAGTAACAAGTAGAGGAAGTGCGCCGATTGTAAGCACCCGTACGTAAACTTCGACGGCAAGCAGACGTTACTGATCTGAGTATTTCAAGTCGTGTTTGTTGACAATACGCAGTTTTCGTATTGGTAACGAAACAAATATATGCATTTGTGTAATAGCTGTGAGCATAGTAAAGAAAATTTGCATTAAATAAATAAAAAAGTGATTTTTATTGTTTTCGAAAAGCGATATATGGGTGTGGATTCGTTCAGAAAAAAGTGTTTAATTTTTTTTGCAGTGTTGTCATTACATTTTGTGATTTACCATCTTATTTAACCGGGTGCCCATAACCGGGAATCAAAGTCATTTTTTAAAAAGACTTTCATTCCCGGTTATGGGCACTTTTTTGTTAAGGAGGCTCTACCATCTGACGATGATGTGGACTACTGTCTCATCTATCTACACTTTCTGTCAAGGAAATTGACAGCAACAAACTCCATTAAATGCAATGAATATAGTCATTCAGTGCGTTGATATGCGTGCCACCTACTTCACATGCAAACATTATGCTTCTGTTACCGATGAGTATAGTGTGAAAACGTGTCATAATAAACTTAATAAACTAACAACATTTATATAGATGTATCACGAATTTTGAAAACGGCGTCAAAAAAGGATAGTATATATGCATTTAAGTGTACAACAAAATTATTCTCTTGCAGCTAAAGAATCCATGTAGCAAAATTAAAATTCGTACAAACATTAAAAAATTAGACACCTGTTTGTAATAAATTACCTTAATTATTGACTTCTAATCTAGTTAAAAGCGGCGAAAGTAACTATATCATTAATATCGTCTCACTTTTTTCTGACGTATTATTTATTATATTCCTTAATTATTTCTTTCTCTCTATTAATTTTTCATTAATGCAAATAGAAAATCATTAAACCATAAAAATATCTTTGTTCAGGTGTTTCCTAGTGTATTTAACGCAAACATTCTCTATCTCTTTTTAGGCAAAAAGTTCAATAACTGTAATACACGTGTAATCGAAATAGTATTCTTCCAGAAAACTTATATATAATACTGCACAACTGATTAAACAAAAGGGAATTAAATACTTTCCCTTTCTGTAATCAGACGAAATACATCAGTCAAGGTTTATTCAAAATTTTCCTTGAAATAGTACAATTATCTCGACAGAGAAACAATTCATAGATAGGTTTAGTTTTAAGTAGGAACAGACAGTTGTGAAAGAAGATAATTTTATCTAAATACAGTAAGTATTGTAAATCAAATTTTTTTTAATTTTATCGTTGAGTTTAAAGTTTTATTATTCTAATACAAATACTTTCTAAAATACTTGACCTTAACCAGCGTTTCTTACTCAACTATAGTAATTAATCAGTTGATATATTTACTTTGACAAGTGGGAAACCCAAAAATGTTGGTCTCTGAATTGTCCTGAAAATCCTAAAGATGATGATATTTAAAAAACTATTTTATTAACCAAAAAATACTTCTACTCAGATATAAATATTTTATTTCCAGGTGTACTTTGATTCCGCATTGAAAAAGTCAGCAAAGAAGAGAACAAAAGTAAAAAATTATTCACAACATTTTCTTTAAAATTTGTCAATTACCAAGAGTATCAGATCGAAATGAACAATGAGACACTCCTCAGTCAGTCGGTGCCAAACTTTCAGTTTCTTTCTGTTTGTCACTACATAACGAGTTTTGGTATATTTTTCAACAATCAGGATTTAATTTCCCTAGAATATCAAAATCATTCTGTCTCTGTTCTAAACACTCTTTTTGATTATCTTCACAATTCGACGAATAAAGCTTTAACAAAACTTGAACTCCTTCAGAGAGTGTTAGCCGGAAGTGATCTGTACGGCGGGGGAGAAAATGAAACACTTGACATGAAATACGTGGATGACACATTTAAGTACATCATTAGTAATGCTCTCTTTTCCCAATATGGAAACATTCAAGGTTATTTAGCAAGAGTAATAAATCTAGCGGACAACGTAAACTATTCGGGACTAAAGAAGAACGTATTAGAAGATTTTTCAAAAAATAACAAAAGTCTAGATTACTGCTCATCTAGAAGTGAAAGCATTGAACTCACTCCGACAACACTTAACAATGTTTTTAATAATTATATTTGGTCCATCTTTCCCGAACCAGCGGAAAATATGGATATATTGGATGTTAATTACATATACGCAATGATTGGTTTAAAAATCGCCGAATCTATCCAAGTTGATGGTAATCTATCTTTCGATAAATATATTTTTCTATCCCAAGCTATTGAATTTCAAACAATGTATAACGAATCTTATAATTTGACATTGGAATTATTTAAGGCACCGGCTTTATTTTACTATGCCCATATCGAGAAGGCGATGTTTCGCCAAGCTGATGTATCAACTTTGATAAAGACTGAAAAATTTTGGTACGAGGCGTACAAGAAATTTTTTAGTTACATTAATCTTCTATTAAGTAATAGTTTAAGAATAGAAATGAAAAGAAGTCTTTATTCGAAATTACAAATTCAACTGCAACATTTATTAAGTCGAACCTTTATTGCTGCTGAAACACTGAGAATCTATTGTAACTACTCGAGTATAGCAGCAGTTTCAGAAATTTATATAGCTTTATACAAATTTTCCCGTTGGATATTAAAATTATTTTTACCAAAAGAATGCAGCGTTGATAGTCTTCCGGATTTAGAGGAACTGTACGATCAACAGTTTGATGAGGTACGAAAAACATTTAATGAGATTGAACAAAATTCGCTGGAGCAGGTATTGCTGGATGGTGATATGATAAAGAGGATGAATTTAAATTCGACTGTTACAAATGCTCATGTACCACACTATAAAATGCATTGTATGTACTGCCCACCGATGCCTAGAAAAAAGAATAGTGATATTTATTTACTATTTGCAATAATTGAAAACAAGAAAACTGATTTTTATGCTCTTCAACAGGAAAATAATACTTTGACATTACTTAAAAGTGATGGAAATGAACGCGAATTTGCAAAAGCAGTCGCTAATGATTCGTCTCTAAAAATGGAGATTCCAGTATTTTCGCAAATTTATAAACGAAATGGTGAAGATTATAAGATATTTGTTCACAAGATTGCTAATATTAAGACCGAACAGTTTGTACAGGGACTTAAGAAACATTACCGAGATCCTACAGACATGGAGTTAGTAATAGATTTTTTGAAATCATTAGTACCATTTTATACCTGTATTGAAAATATAAAATCCGGAAATCGAGGAGGAGCATCACTAAGTTGTACATTCGATGTTCTTAGTCTTCTTCCATTCGCTGGTGTTGGAGCAAAATATTTCTCCATTATGTGGAGTAGTATGATTGCTAAAATAGGACCCCAAGCTTTATCGAGTATATCTAAATCAGCATTCACCAAATTGATCATGTCTACCGGTTTAAACCAAATTTATACAACCCTAACAGAAGAAATTATAACCAAGCAACTTCTAAAAGACATCACAGTCGCCTCGCTAAGAACATTGGATCCAGGATTTGAACTGTCATACAATTTTTTTAGATTCTCCAGTCAAATAGTGGGAAACATGATCCGGACATTATCGTCAAGATTGAAAGGCATGGCAAGGATGAAGAATCTTCTACAATCTATTGAACCAGTAACTAACATTCTTGCTAGGAATGCAAAAATGCTAAAAGACTCTTCGGTCGTGATTCATCAGGAGAATAATTATAAGGTCGTTAGATATCTTTATCCCGGGGGTGTGAATTATTACGGACCTAAGTGCATAGCATCGTTTGGAAAAGTTGCTGAAATGAGAACCATCAAAGGGAATGCATTTCAAGTTCCCGTTGTTCCTGTAAAATCCATCGGTAATTCAATACATTATCAAGAATACGTTCCAGAGACGGGTACGATTTCTAAGGAAAAACTAGAAATTGGTAGGGACAATATACTCCGTAGAATTGGAAATTACATTGAAATGATTGCAGCGAAAGGAGGAGATATCAGCGTCATACGTAATTATCACGTCTATCATAATACAATCGAGTGGAAGAAGACACCTGAAGGAACCCAAAACCAAATTACCAATAATCCAACTGGTGATACTAACGCCCCTGTGGAAGTTGACCCAAATACTCCAGGAACTTCAAGAATTCGAGTACGCACTGATGACATATCAAGCCCATCAAAAAAAGGTCGAATTGAACACTCGACCAGTAGGAGTTTCATCTACCAAGAAGATATGAAACAAACAGTAAATTTGTTGACAAAATTTAAAGAGAATGGTTTAACCAACTTATTAGAAAATAACGAATTGTTATCCCTGCGAAAAATTGTCCACTCCATCGATTTTTATCAAACCGTCAATACTGTATTTAAGCCACCACAAGATTTATGGTTCACCAAAAAATTAACAAGACCATCTATTGTTGCTAATCTAAAAGATCAAAAAGGAAAAGACTTTTACTTTAATGACATTACCATAATTACGGACACAAATCCAGGTGAAATTATACTCAAGAAAAATCCAAAATTTACATTAGTAACCGAAGTTCGTTATCATATACAGTTTGATTCTCAATACGGACTTCTTGATCTGTCTGCATTTCATAGTAGTTTCAAAAATAAATATATTGTATCACCGGAAGTAGAATTTTTCGTCAAGGACGCAAAGTTTTATAATGGAAAAGAGATTTTGGTTTTGGTAATGCAACAGAAAGCGATGACAAAGGAAAGATGGTTACAAATAAAAGAATGGCATGATATTCTATTTGAGAAGAAGGTATCAATACCTAATGAGAGAAAAGAAATGATTGAGAATGCTGCAATGTTTGTAGCAGAAAATACACCTCTACACAGATTTTCTGAAATGGAGGAAGCTTTCAAAAATTTTATTCTAAATATCAATGGCGAAAATAATTTAGTTCCTACTTACGATAAATTGGCGAAAGAAATCTACGCGAGTAACACATTTCCAATTGAGTATATGAGATTTAAAATAGATAATAGCAATTTCGTTAATGATATTCTATTTCAAAAATCACTAGTGCAGATAAATGATATTGATATTGCACGGAATACAATTTCTACCGTATATAAAGGTATTTATAAACAGAAAGTTGAACCGGTGTTTGAAATTTATCACAATTCACCTAATATTAGAGAACTTATGCGATTTGAGGATTTTTATGTGATCTATTCGTTTACTTCCAGTACTTTATTATTAGATGCACTAGCACCGAATAGGTTAGCTATTGCATTACGTAGACTTGCTTTAAGACAGTGTAGTGAGCCATTACTCTCTACTCCAATTACAGTTTATGCCATTTCAACAGTTACTTCAAATGGATTTCAAGAATTAATAAGATTAAAAACTGGTGGTTTCATCCGTTTTCCAAAAATGGTTAGATTTTTATCGAAACAAGAAAATTTAGTGAATACTATTCAACATAATGAACCTTCAGATATAACAGTAATGTATCAATTGACAATGTCAAATAAGGCTGGAATAGCTGATTTAAGTTCTATTATAAGTGAAAAAAATGGACGTATGTATATATTGGAAGAAATGCAGTTTATAATTATTGAAAGGAGTAAAGAGATAATTGATGGAAAAGATGTTTTTGTAGTAAAACTTGAAGACGATAAATCATCAACAGAGAAACGAATGGTCCATACAGTAAACAAAATTAATCAAATATTTCTACATGGTTCTAAACTTCAAGTACATAATTTTAACAGTCGCCGATAGTAACATTTATTTAATTTTGTCATATTCTAAACTTCAAGTTAATAATATTAACAGTCATCGATAATAACATTTATTTCATTTTGTCATATTCTAAATAACTTAGAAAATTCTTTTAGATAAAGTTCGCTACCAGGACAAATAATAGTTTGTGTGTTTTACAAATTTTTAAAAGCAGTCTCCACAAATACGATGTATCAATATCAGGTAAAAAGATATTTAAATGTGTTACAATGCATGAAAGTAAATAATATAAAGTTTGGAAACTGCGTTACTGAACAACTGGTTACACAAAGTGGAATAAAATGGTATCTTATAATTAGAGTACTGACGCTTCTAGATAATATTATATGACACTTAAATTCATATAAAATAATTACCATTCTAAAAAAAAATTAGTAGACCAGGAGTTACCTTCTTAAAATATAAATTCCAGTCAACAAGAAGCAGCAGCCTTCAGTTGTTTCATTGATGTCCTTAATTTTATTTCAGTAGCTGTAGTAGTATCTACATTCAATAAATTAACGATAACCACCGATTTGGGTCTAATACAGAAACTGGTGTGGAAATTCTAACCAAACAACTTCTGATAGATATCAGTATCGCCTCTATACGAACATTGGATCCTGGTTTTAAACTATCATTTCAATTTCAAGATTTCCGAATGAAGTATTTAGAAAAATTTATCGCATGTTGTCCTCATAGTTTGGAAGTATTCCGAATGTTAAAAATCTCCTTCCTCCTATTGAATCTGCCGAACTGAGAACTATCGAAGGGAACAGATTTCAAGTTCCTGTTGTGTCCTTAAAATTAGGTAATTTAGTCTACTATAGGGAATTCAATCTGACAAGTAGAGAAATTTATAAGGAGAAACTCAAAATTAAAGCAGAAGGAAGAGATATCAATGTCTTACATAATTATAAAGTGTATCATAATACAATCACGTTGTATAACCAACCTATCAAAGGGGATTCAATTAAAAGGTTCATTCCCCTTATGGATCAAAGAAATTTAGTGATAGATTCGGAAACATAAAAGTCTATTAAAGGAAGAATGGTAAAAAATTAAAGATTGGGTTAAAATGTTACTTTGGAGACGGGAATTTTTACAGTCTGCAAGAGCTGCTAGTATCGAAAAGTGATCACTCTTTGCATCATCCAATACACCTTTGAAAAAATTCAAAGTTTTTACTTATGATACGTGGGCAAGTGGTACTAAAATTTTATGTCGACATGTGATAATTAGATTCTCTTTTCTTTAGGGTGTAAAAAAATAATTTTTTACCACCTGATGGATACGTGTGTATAATAATTTAAAACTTTCAAAATAATGAATAAACCTTGATGTAGAATCAAAAACACAAAAGAGGAATAAAATATTTTTTTTTAAACCATTTTTGTGGCATCAATAAATTATTTTATTACATTCTTTTTGATAAACGGAAAATTTCAAGATCGAGAAAAAGTACTTATTTGATAATTCTCTAGTTGCAAAGTGACAAGACCCGAGTTAGATCAACAAATATACGGTAAGCATTATTTTTCTTATTAATTGTAGAGAAATATGTCTAGTAATTAAGATTTTGTAAACAATTTTAAAAAATTTTCTATTCCCGACGATCATGTTTTAATTAGTTTAGATGCTGCGTTTTTGTTTTAAAAATGTTGGTTCTGAATATGTGCGAAATTCACTCATTAGACATTATAATTTCTGTAGCTGCAAAAAGTGGTTTAAAGTTGTTGTCTTGACCGTTACTTTTCTGCTTCCTACTGGCATTTCTAAAACTCCAACCAGGGCCTCCTGAACATCTGTTGGCCCTGTAAGGCAATCCATATAGCGGATCTCAAAAGTAGTCGGTCCACAATCAGCACCTTACCCAAATCACTAATTACCCTAGTCGCCTCATTGGTGAATGTCTACTTATCAGAAGAACCTCTAAGTTTTATTAAGTAGTCTCCTTTCTTGGTGGGTACAGATCCCACACAAATCGTAAGGCTTTTTTCTGGGTTCACCTTCTTACGGATCTTTCCCAGACCTGCTGCAAACGTCGAACATTCAGCCACCTAAAGGCTGCTCGCACAAGGATTGTGCCGGGTATATGTGTCCTATTCTATTTCATTATTCTGTCTTCTCCTATCTCATTAGAAACGTATTCGAGACACAGTACCGACAATCAATGTTAAAGCTGTCGCATCTAACTCTCCGATCTTGTCTTGATTCCTCTGACCACACCAATTGTTGGTATAATCTCTCATCTACTTTTTATTCTCCTTGATCTCTTGTATGAGCATTGTTATGCTTTTCAGTCCGTCCTTGATCGTCATATTGACGTTTTTCTGGACATCACAGGACTTCAGAATCTTGCTGACCTCTTCCTCCATTTTTTGAATGCAAGCTGCTTCCTCCTCCCGAAGCCTTTTAGCTTCTACATTGCAGCAAGCAATGTTATTAGCAGAAGCATTACTGACGACAGAAATGCAGCTGGCTTAACTCTTCACCTTGTCCACGATGATCTGTGGTACTTCCAACGCTTTGTTGTCTTCTGCATCCTTGGGACTTCGCCTTAGTGCTAACTACTTCACGATCGAAACCAGTGAAGGATTTAGCCGAAGTATTACCCCTCAGGTACTCTTCCATGTTTTTACAATCGCTCACACTTTATGTTTGTCCCGTATCGAGTTCTGCGGATTTTTGGTACCACTGAATACGACTTGGATTTCAGATTTCTAAAATTCAAATATTATATTCTTCTATATTATCTCAGTTTTGAAATTTTTTAAAGCTCAACGATAAACGACAATTTTAATATCAATTTTGGAATTTTTTGGGGTTTTAAAATAATTTCCAGTGCTTTTCCTCATGGAAAATCCTTGTCGATGTTAAAAAGAAAATTCTAATTTAAACTGAAATGTGTATGCCTTAATTTGATTAAACTGTATACAATTATCTTATAGATTTACAAAAAAAGGTTTAAATTCAATTTTTTCTGAAATTAGTTACATTTCTTAATAATATATTTAATTAATTATTAAAAGTAATGGATTTACAGAAAAATATTAGTTAAAACACTGAAAAAATTAAACTTTGGAGAAGTTACAAATGATAGCAGAATTTCAAATATTTTTAAAAGTAATAAAATTCTTCGCAGAAATTATTTCCATCAAACAGACATCTATAGGACAATAAATTTACTGAAGAATTTTAAGGAAAAGGGATTAATGGGTTATAGTCCAGTTCAGTTAACTAAAACATGGTTTTTTTAAATGGAATTTCTGGTTTATTGGTTTATTGGAGGGAGTAATTTTTTGCGTACTAACAAATTATCACTGCATCAACAATTTTTACTTTAACAATTTTGGATAAAGGCTATTTGTTTACTTATCCTTTCCTGCAAATTTTGCAAAAAAATTTTTTGATCTAGCTCAGATGGGCGGGGGAAGATAATTTTTTTATTTCAAAATATTCCTGAGGCTTTATCCCTCCAAAAAACTAGGTTTTTTTGCAAAAATTCAATTTGCCACAAATTGTGATTGATAGATTGGTATTTCATGAAGAGAACCCGACAAAAAAACTGATTTTCATCCAGTCAAAAATGTAGAAATTTAATTTTAAAAAACCATGTTTTTAGTTAATACAAGTGGAAAACAAATGTTACAAATTTATTATTCGAAAATTTAAAAAATATATATATTACCTAAAATATCACAGTTTGCAGAAAATCACCCATATACTTCAATTATTTCTTATTATCTATTAATTTTTCATTTATGCAAACAGAGAATCAATGAACCAAAAAAATGTTTTTGTTAACGTATTACCTAGTGTACTTGACGCAAACATACTCTTTTTTGAGTCAACATGTTCAATAACTGTATTACACGTGTAATCGTTAAAGCATTCTTCTAGAAAACTTATTTTAAATACTGCACAACTGATTAAACAGAACGGAATTAAATATTTTCTTATTATGTAATCAGACGAAATACATCAATCAAGGGTTATGGAATATTTTCTCGACGGATAAAAAATTGATAGATTGGTTACGTTTTCAGTAGGATCAAACAGCTGTGAAGGAAGACAATTTATCTAAATACGGTAAGTACTGTGAACCAAATGTTCTCGTTGAGTTTAAAATTTTATTACTTTAAGGGCATCCGGGAAAAAATAATGGTTTCGTGATCGACATGTCATTTAAAAAGAAAAGAATATTTTAAGTAGCGATTTTTTGGTAAATATAAAGAAACGCTTTGCGACTGGCGCTGCTCTCGGAATTTTTCAAAATTTTGATACATAATTATTAAAAAAATTGTTTAAGGGGTTACGCCACCCTGGACGCATGAAAATCGAATGATTTTTTAGGAATTTTTTGACAAAACTATTTGAGGTAGGACTTTTTTACAATTATTGATAATTTAATACATATCTTAAGCTCTATAAGTATTTAAAAAAATTGTTTTTAATTAAAAATGTCGGATATATAAGGATTGGCGTGTATCAGTTTTTCTGGAGCAATTTTTATACATGATTGGCATTTCAATTTTCTCTGAAACAAGTAAACAAATATTTTTCTTAAAAAATGATAAATTTTGAACAGAGTGACGAAGCCGTTTAAAAAATTTTTTTTTACGCCAATCGAAGCACTTCAAAAATTGACTTCATGTTTTGGGCTAAAAATACCGTATAAAAAATTAGATAAAATTTTTTTAAATTATTCAGTCGAAAAAATCCCACGTCACTCTGTGAAAAATCTATTTAGGAAGATGTATTTTAATTTTCAAGTCAATCGGTTGAATAGTTTTCGAGCTACTATCATGTACACCGCCTTGAAAAATGTGGTTTCGAGAAAATTGCAAAAGAAGAAAAAAATGTACATTAGTGGATTATAACTTGAACTTTTTCAACTTACTAATTAATCAGCAAATCCTGAGCCATAATACTCTTCTCCTAGAATAAAAAGAATGTCGTCCGATTCCATTTGTTGAGCTCTTTTTAATTTTCTGGCCTCCTTTGTCGTCTCCTGCGCTCTCAGGTTCCCGTGTAGAAATTTCGCTGGGGCCCTGATAAGGGCCGGATAAGGCCGACCTATTAGGGAATGAAACGCCGCGCCCGATGTGGCCCTGATCAGGAAATCCACATTTTCTTGTCGCCCCGATCTGGCCCTGATCGGGAGCGGCGTTTCATTCCTTACTATGGCCCTAGTAGGGCAATTTCTACACGGGTTGGCGATAGATACTCACCGTTGGTCAACTTCTTCGCACATTCGCTGTACATTTGATTCGATTTTTAAATTTAATACTTCTACTTTAATACTTTCTACCCGGGCACACAGTTTTCGACATTTTTATTTAATATTAAAATTTACGTATAAAACTCAACAATCTTTACTCTGTAGCTCGAAGCCAAAAAATGACAAGTTTCGTAAGGTGCAATATACCTTTAGAAACGAGATTCTATTACAGTGGAAGAAATACAATAAAAAGGACCCTTCGTAAATCATGAAAAGGCCCCCTAGACCATTCGAAAGTGGAAAGTCGTTAGGGAGGCGCCAAACGGCTTTCAGCAGTTCTCGGCGTGCTGACTTCTGATGAACATAACTTTCGTAATTATTGAGACATTGTCTTCAATTTTTTTAAAATTTCAAGGTGGCGTAACCCCTTAAACATACAGAAAAAGAGTTTTTTAACAGTTTAGTATTCAAGTCTCATTTTGAGAGGATAAAATATTTTGGGTTCATATTCGCAGCTACTTGCAAATTTCCAAAATATTCTTTATGAGCACGAAATCCCATAATTATACTAATAAATCAGAACTAGATATCTCTAATTATTTAGGAGTGAGACGACACACAGAAAAACACTTTTTAAGGGCGAATTTTCCCGAATGCCTTTAATAAAAATTGCTTTTAAAATACATGAGCCTAACCTGCGATTTCTACTCAACTATAGAAAATTAATCACTTAATACATTTACTTTGACTTGTGGCTAACTCAGAAATATTCGTCTCTGAATTATCCTTTCTAGTATCACTCAGGTTTTCTAAAAATAAAGACAGAATATGATATTCTAAAAACTATTTAACTAAACTAAAAATAATTTTACATAGATATTAATTTTTAATTTCCAGGTGGACTTTGATCACACATTCCAAAAGTCAGCAAAGAAGAGAACAAAAATAAAAAATCACATTTTGTTTAAATTTCGAAATTACTAAGAGTATCATATCGAAATGAACAATGAAACACTCCTCAGTCAGTCGGTACAAAACTTTCAGTTTCTTTCTGTTTGTCACTACATAACGAGTTTTGGTATATTTTTCAACAATCAGGATTTAATTCCCCTGGAATATCAAAATCATTCTGTCTCTGTTCTAAACACTCTTTTTGATTATCTTTACAATTCGACGAATGAAGCTTCAACAAAACTTGAACTTCTTCAGAAAGTGTTAGCAGGAAGTGATCTGTACGGTGGGGGAGAAAATGAAACACTTGACATGATATACGTGGATGATACATTCCAGTACATCATTAGTAATGCTCTATTTTCCCATTATGGAAACATTCACGGTTATTTGGCAGGGGTAATAAATCGAGCGGACAACGTAAAATATTCGGTACTAAAGAAGAACGTGTTCCAAGATTTTTTGAAAAATTATAGAAGTTTAGATTACTGCTCATCTAGAAGAGAAAGTATTGAACTCACGTCGACAACAGTTCGCAATGTTTTTAATAATTATATTTGGTCCATCTTTCCCGAACCACCGGAAGATATGGATATATTGGATGTTAATTACATATACGCAATAATTGGTTTAAAAATCGCCGAATCTATCCAAGCTGCTGGTAATCTATCTTTCGACAATTATATTCTCCTATCCCAAGCTATTGAACTTCAAACCATGGATAACGAATCATATCAATTGACATTAGAATTATTTAAGGCACCCGCTTTATTTTACTACGCCCATATTGAGAGGACAATATTTCGTCATGCTGAAGTATCAACTTTGATAAAGAGTAAAAAATTTTGGTACGAGGCGTACAATATATTATTTCGTTACATTAATCTTCTGGTGAGTAGTAGTTTAAGAGTAGAAATAAAGAGAAGTCTTTATTCGAAATTACAAATTCAACTTCAACATTTAATGAGTCAAACCTTTATTGCTGCTGAAATACTGAGAATCTTCTGTCATTACTCGAGTATAGCAGCAGTTTCAGAAATTTATGTATCTTTATACAAATTTTCCCGTTGGATATTAAAAATATTTTTACCAAAAGAATGCAGCGTTGATAGTCTTCCAGATTTGGAAGAATTGTACGATCAACAGTTTGATGAGGTACGAAAAACATTTAATGAGATTGAACAAAATTCTCTAAAGCAGGTATTGGTGGATGGTGATATAATAAAGAGGATGAATTTAAATTCGACTGTTATAAATGCTAAGGTACCACACTATGATATGTATTGTATGTACTGCCCTCCGATGCCTAGAAAAACGAATAGTGACATTTATTTAATATTCGCAATAATTGAAAATAAGAAAACTGACTTTTATGCTCTACGACAGGAAAATAACACTTTGACTTTACTTAGAAGTGACGGAAATAAACGCGAATTTTCTAAAGCAGTCGCTAATGATTCTTCCCTAGAAATGGAGATTCCAGTAATTTCGGAAATTTATAAACGAAATGGTGAAGATTATAAGATATTTGTTCAAAAGATTGCTGATATTAAGACCGAACAGTTTATACAGGGTCTCAAAAAACATTACAGAGATCCTACAGACATGGAGTTAGTAATAGATTTTCTGAAATCATTAGTGCCATTTTATACCTGTATTCAAAATATAAAATCTGGAAATCAAGGAGCAGCAGCGATAAGTTGCACCTTCGATGTTCTTAGTCTCTTTCCATTCGCTGGAGTTGGAGCAAAATATTTCTCCGTTATGTGGAGTAGTATGATTGCTAAAATAGGACCCCAAGCTTTATCCAGTATATCAAAATCAGTATTCACCAAATTGATCATGTCAACTGGTTTAAATCAAATTTTTACAACCCTAACAAAAGAAATGTTAACCAAGCAACTTCTAAAAGACATCACAGTCGCCTCGCTAAGAACATTGGATCCTGGTTTTGAACTGTCATACAATTTTTTTAAATTTTCTAGTCAAATAGTGGGAAACATGATCCGGACATTATCGTCAAGATTGAAAGGCATGGCGAGAATAAAGAAACTTCTCCAATCTATTGAACCAGTAACTAACGTTCTTGCCAGGAATGCAAGAATGCTAAAAGACTCTTTTGTGGTTATCAATCAGGAAAATAATTATAACGTCGTTAGATACCTCTATCATGGGGGTTCGAATTATTATGGACCTAAGTGCGTAGCATCGTTTGGAAAAGTTGCCGAAATGAGAACTATCGAAGGGAATGAATTTCAAGTTCCCGTTGTGCCTGTAAAATCCACCGATAATTCTGTCCACTATCAAGAATACTTTACAGAAACAGGTATAATTTCTAAAGAGAAATTAGAAATTGGTAGGGACGACATACTTCGTAGAATTAAAGATACCATCGAAATGATTGCAGTGGAAGGAGGAGATATAAGATTCATACGTAATTATCACGTCTATCATAATACAATTGAGTGGCAGAAGACCCCTGAAGGGACCCAAACCCGGATTAGCAATAATCCAACTCTTGAAAGAATCACCCCTGTGGAAGTTGACTTAAATACTCCAGGAACTTCAAGAATTCAAGTACGCACTGATGACATATCTAGCCCATCAAAAAAGGCTCGAATTCAACAATCGACCAGCAGGAGTTTCATCCACCAAGAAGATATGAAACAAACAGTAAATTTGTTGACAAAATTTAAAGAGAATGGTTTAACCAACTTATTAGAAAATAAAGAATTGTTATCCCTGCGAAAAGTTGTTCACTCCATGGATTTTTATCAAACCATCAATACTGTATTTAAGCCACCACAAGATTTATGGTTTACTAAAAAATTAACAAGACAATCTATTGTTGCTAATCTAAAGGATCAAAAAGGAAAAGACTTTTACTTTAATGATATCACCATAATTACGGACACTAAACCAATTGAAATTATACTTAAGAAAAATCCTAGATTTACATTAGAAACCGAAGTTCGTTATCGTATAAAGTTTGATTCTCAATACGGACTTCTTGATCTGTCTGCATTTCATAGTAGTTTCAAAAATCAATATATTGTATCACCGGAAGTCGATTTTTTTGTCACAGACACAAAGTTTTATAATGGAAAAGAAATTTTGGTTTTGGAAATGCAACAGAAAGCGATGACAAAGAAAAGATGGTTAGAAATAAAGGAACGGAATCATATTCTATTTGAGAAGAAGGTATCAATACCTAATAAAAGAAAAGAAATGATTGAGAGTGCTGCAATGTTTGTGGCAGAAAATACACCCCTACACAGATTGTCTGAAATGGAGCAAGCTTTCAAAAATTGTATTCTAAATATCAATGGTGAGAATAATTTAGTTCCTACCTATGATAAAGTTGCAAGGGAAATCTACGCGAGTAATTCACTTCCAGAGCAGTATATGATATTTAAAATAGATAATAGCAATTTGGTTGATGATGTTCTATTTGAAAAATCGCTCGTCCAGATGAATGATATTGATAATGCCCTGAATACAATTTTTACCATTTATAATGGTATTTTTAAACAGAAAGTTGAACCGGTTTTCGAAATTTATCACAATTCACCTAACATTAGGGAACTTTTGCGATTTGAGGATTTTTATGTGATCTATTCGTTTACTTCCAGTACTTTATTATTAGATGCACTATCACCAAGTAGATTAGCTATTGCATTACGTAGACTTGCCTTACGACAGTGTAGTGAGCCATTACTCTCTTCTCCAATTACGATTTATGCCATTTCAACAGTTACTTTAGAGAGATTTCAAGAATTAATAAGATTAAAAACTGGTAGTTTCATGCGTTTTAAAAACATGGTTAGATTTTTATCGAAAAAAGAAAATTTGGTTAATACTATTGAGCTCAGTGAACCTTCAGAGATTATAGTAATGTATCAGTTGACAGTATCAAATAAGGCTGGAATAGCTGATTTAAGTTCTATTCTAAGTGAAAAAAATGGACGTATGTATATATTGGAAGAAATGAAGTTTGTAATTATTGAAAGAAATAAGGAGATAATTGATGGAAGGGATGTCTTTGTAATAAAAATTGAAGACGATAAATTATCATCAGAAACACGAATGATCCGTACAGTAAACAGAATTAATAAAATATTTCTACATGGTTCTAAACTTCAAGTTAGTAATATTAACAGTCGCCGATAATAACATGTATTTTATTTTGTCATATTCTGATTAACATGAAAAATTCCATCAGATAAAGTTCGCTACCAGGATATTTGAAAAACAGTCTCTACATATACAGTGTGTCAATATCAAGTAAAAATAAATTCCAGTAGTTGTAGTAGTAGCAGAATATTCCTCCATTGTGTGGAGTTGTTTCATTGCTAAAATAGGATTCCAAACTTTAGGGAGTCTTTCAAAATCTACACTCTATAGATTAACGATAGCTACCGATTTGAATCTAATACAGAAAATGGTGTTTAAAACCCTAACAAAAAAAATTCTGAACAAACAGCTTCTGATAGATATCAGTATCGCCTCCATACGAACATTGGATCCTGGTTTTGAACTATCATTTTAATTTTAAGATTCTCGAATCAAGTATTTAGAAAAATTTATCGGATGTTGTCCTCAAAGTTTTGATGTATTACGAATGTTCAAAACCTCCTTCCTCCTGTTGAATCTGCAATGAGGATGATAAATCTAATTACGGAATTGTTACCTGATGAAACTGGACTGATTCCAGCGGTTATTCAACGTCATAATAATTATAACGGCTTTAGATGTTGTCCAGACCACTTCGGATATCCATTAGATATCTATAAGATATCCAAATTTCCGCAAGGTGTGATAATTAAAATTTATTTTATTGACATCCGAGGCATATTTCATTGGTATTTCAGGGATATGTTATAAATATTACAGAGATATCTTATGGATATCACAGGGTATAACTTAGGAATATCATATAAAAATCCCAAAGATAATTTATGAATATTTACAAAGGAACATTATGATCGCCATAATAAACTGCAGAATATTAATTTTAACGAGCAACAATTCGTGCGGCTTACTGGTTGCTTTATTTTTTAATTAAAATTCACAATTTTATAAAAAGAATAGAATTTAAAAATCTTTAATTTAAATTATTTTTCATAAAAATAAAATATGAATTGGAATATAGTTTTAATACTATTATAACTATAGTAACCATATATTCTAGGATAGGGAATTCAGGGAAAAGTCAGGGATTTTGTTGGAAAGTACTAGAAAAATTAAATTTTTGGAATTCATGAGAAAATTGTGAATTTTACTATCTTTTTTCTTTGACACATAAGCAGTGAAATTACAGCGAATTCTAACACAGAACGTTTTAATTTTTTTAATTTTGACAATTATGTTCTTTTCGAATAATTTAATTCTTGAAGAACTATCGCAAAATTACCTATTATTTTGAAAAAATTTCATCAATAATTTTACTTCAATATTTTAAAATTAATTAAATTTTACAAGACTTAAGTTTACAATATTTATAAACAGATGAATTGCGAAAGGTTTTAATTTAATTCAAATTCTTTTCAAATTAGTTAAATTTTTTTAATATACATTTAATTATTAAAAATAATGGATTTAAATTAAATAAAAATATATATTATGAAAAATATATCCTTTAATGAGTCAAAAAATAAATAATTATATATCAGACTTTACTAATCTTTTCATTCTCTTATTTCTCTCTTGTTATTCTTGCTTCTAATATAGTTGATACTTACTAAGCATAATCGCAAAAAACAATAATAAAAATCCTAATCAATTTAAAGAAAAAGTGTAAAAGAAGAAAACGCGATGCGTCAATAGTCCCTAAAATAATATTTTAATTATATACAAAAGCAATAAATAAATATGTCAAATTCAGAAACAAAACAAAATCATACATGTACATTTTCAGATGTGGACAGAGATCCAGATGAAAAATTAGAGATTATTATAAGTAATAACAATTTTTATTTTAATAAATACTATTAATAATAAAATAAATAAAATTTAATCAGTCATTTATTTTCTACAAATACTACTTTATTTTAATTTTCCTAATATTATATTTGAAATTGAATATTAATGTAGAATCAAAAACACGAAAAAAGAATAAAATATTTTTTCAAAAACAATTTTTATGCCGTCAATAAATTACTTTATTACATTCCTTTTGATAAACGGAAAATTTCAAGATCGAGAAAAAGTATTTATTTGATAATTCTCTAGTTCCAAGGTGATACGAGTTAAACCAACAAACATATGGTAAGCATTCTTTTTCTTATTAATTGTAGAGAAATATGCGTAGTAGTTATGATTTTGTAAACAATTTCAAACAATTTGCAACAAATGTTGATTCTCAACATGTGTGTAACTCTCTCATTAGATATTATTCAATAATTTCTCAAAGTTTAAACATTTACTTACACAATTTACTCGATTCTTGCTAGTTCCATTTTGACAATATATGTTTTAAATTCAATAATAAATATTATAAACAAACATATGGTACCCTTCTTTTTGCATAGGGAACTTTAGGAAATCTGCATACAGATACCTTGGACTCCGCACTCCAAGGTTATGTGGGGTTAGTAGAATAAAAAAGATAATATTTTTTTTTTATTGTTTATACTCCTGCCCTATTGGCCTTACGCACTTCGACAAGAGTCCCCGAGAAATACTTTTTTGGATTAAGCATAACCATTCTACTTAGAAATTTTTCTATATATTAACCTAATTTGCGTCTACAGCCGACTTTATTAGGAGTACTCGCATTACGCCTGGACCACCCGTCAATGGGTTTTCTCGCCAGAGAAGAGGGAAACTGTAGAAAACCTCTCTGAGTACAACCGGTTTATCGACAATCGAGTTCTAATGGTGTGTACCGGACAATAATCGACGGTGCACATCATTATACCTCGACGTCAAACCTCCCGCTCAGATTGTCTCACGTGCCGAAAAAATACCAAGCCAAGTGGGCGCGAACCTAGGGTACTTATACCCTTGGTCCTTAAACGACCACCAACGCCAGGCATCTATCCGACTGAGCCAATCTGTCGGTAAAAAGATAATATAAAATAATAAAATAAATAAACTGACGACCTACTGCCAGCCCCGAACCACTAAAACCCTTAACCCTTCTTTTGAAGCCCTTTATCCACCCTCGGAACTGTCGAAAGAGGGCGGCGCTCCAACTCTGTCGCTACTGCGGCCTTGTTCCTTTCCTGCGGTTCTCCTGCGTCAATAGTTAAAATTTAAAACCATTGCAATGTTAAATAATGGAGGGACGAATGTTAAAAACTGTAAAAAGTTAAAATTGTAAACAGACATAAAAACAGAAATTAAACAATTAAACATATATATAGATCAAAAGGTAAAATTGTAAAAGGACAAGTTAAATAAAAACACAAATAAACAAACAAATATATTAAAATGAGAAGAATAAAAATGTAAAAGGACAGTAAAAACCCAAAAAAGTAATTTAAATAAATAAAAAAAATTATTCAAAGTTATTCGCTCCTTTTAGTAATTATTATTTCCTTTTGGTCCTTGCGAGAGTCTTCTTCGCTTCCTCAAGGGCCGTCCTGAAGACTCTGCATCCTCCGCTGCCTGCAATATGGGTGGTTGACACCTTATTCCCAAACTTTTCAGTGCACAAAAAGCAGCTTGGGCCTCTTTTACAGTTTGCGAACTTATGATCGACTTCTTCGCACTTGAAGCACGCAGTCGATCTGTCCGCCGCCTTACATTCTTTTCCTATGTGGCCATAGTATAAGGCATCTATGACACCTAGTGACCATTACTCTTTTCCTAATGGGCACGACATAAAGCCAATCTTTATGCGTCCTACTTCTTGCAGCCTTTTCGCTTTCTCTGGGTCGGTGACTCTGGGTCGAGATTCATCCCTCGACGATTTGGTCCAAGGACCGTCACCTTCCTGCTTTCTGGCTTTTTCAGGACATTTTCCAACACTTGTTGGACTTCTTCTACTTAGGTAAGGCAATCCAAGTCGCGGATCTCCAGCGTTACCCATCGATCCACAGACTGCACCTTACCCATGCCTTCCACCACTTTGGAAACCTCCGCGGTGAAGGCCTCTTTATTGGAGTCGCCTCTGATTTTAATCAGGAGGTCTCCCCTTTTTGTAGACTTTGCAACTACGACCTTTGTGTAGCTAACGTCCGGATCAACCTCCTTACGAAGCTTACCCAAAACGTCGGCAAACGTCCGACCTTGAGCCACTCAGATGACCATTGTCGATCCCCTCGCTGTCTTTTGCTCCACTTTTTTGACATTCTGGCTTCAGTTTATCCTCCGCACTCTTGTCCACATTCTTTGGAGGTGCTTCCTCCTTTTTCTTTTTCGTAGTTGCATCTTGAGTCCCCTCTGGACTGCCGGAACTACGTCTTCTCTTCGGCACGCCTTAACTGTCGTTTGTAGCGACGCTCTCGCCTTTCCTTTCTGTCCTCACGGTTACCTTCTGCCATGCCGATAGTACATCCTAGGTACATATCTGCTTCGTCAGCTTCTGCGTGCTTCGTCTTTGCTTCTTCCAGCAGGACATGAAGAACTTTAACTCCGTCCTTAACTGTCCTATTTACATTCTTCCTGATGTTACAAGAGTTACTAATTCTTGTGACCTCCAGTTGTATCCATTCAAGACACAATGCTTCTTCCTTCCTTAATCGAAGGCTGTCCTCGCGATTCTCTCTAATTGCCTCGTCATCCTCTTCCGAGTGTACGGGGCTGAATGCGGACCTCCCGCATTCACTCTGTAGACGCGACACTCTGTAGGCTATTTTTACTTCCTCTTCTTGTTCTGTCCACGATGATTTGTGGATCCAACCTCTCCACAATGATTTGTGGAACCTTCAGTGCGGCGTTGCCCTCCTGCATTCACGGGCCACCGGCCATTGTCCCTACGCTGAGGGATTTAACCGAAGTATTACCCTGCAGGTATTCCTGTTTTTTCTGTAATTTACAAAAAAAATTTTTTAATATGATAAATTTTACCACCTAACGGATACGTGAGGAAGATAATCAATATAATTGTTTTGAAATACTAAATACATGTGTAAGAAATCATAATTATACAATTTTCTTTAGAAACTATTTCAGTAACGATAATAAATTATTTTATTACACTTTTTTTGATAAACGGAAAATTTAATAATGCCTACACAAAAATATTTTGCTAAATTTTTAGTTGCTTGGTGAAAATAATTGAAATCAACAAGAGAAAATGGAAAACGCAACATTCTCTATTGAACATTCAACTAACTTTCGATTTTTTTCCGTTTGTCAATACATTACAAGCTTTGGAATATTTTTTTACAATCAGAGTCTAATTCCTCTGGAATATCGAAATCATTCCGTCTCTGTTCTAAACACTCTCTTTGATTATCTCCACAATGCGGAAAATGAATCTTTATCAAAACTTGAACTTCTTCAAAGAGTGTTGGCTGGAAGTGATCTGTACGGTGGGGGAGAAAATGAAACACTTGACATGAAATATGTAAACGAATCTTACCATTACATCATTAGTAGTGCTCTATTCTTTGACGATAAATACATTAATGGATATTTGGCACAGATGTTCAGTACAGCAGATAATCTAACTTATATTGCATTTAAAAACTTCGTTTATCAACATTTTTCTGAACAGTTTTTGCCCAAAGATTTTTGTTCGTCAAGAAAGGAAAAAATAAATTTAACATCCTTGATAATTAAAAAAGTTTTTAATGAAAATATTTGGTCAATGTTTCCCGAACCGGAGGGAAACCCTGAAATAATGGATATTAATTACATATACGCAATTATTGGTTTAAAAATCGCCCGTTCTGTTCAAGCTGATCCTGTGAATTTATCATTTGAAAGTTATTATCATTTGGGGCAAGAAATTAAATTTGGAAAGTTTGAAATGGAAATATTTCAAGATGTTTTGGAATTATTTAAGACACCAGCTTTATTTTATTATGCCTCTAAACAGAAAGATCAATTTCGTAAAGACTTTAAAGCAAGTACGTCTAGGGGAGATCAATCTTTGTCGAAGGCATATAAAATGTTTTTTATATTCTTCTACTTGGACTATGGGTACGACTATGACCAAGTAAATATAGAGTTTCTCACTGGTTTGGAATTAATGTCCGACATCTTTCAGATAAAAGAACGAACATTAATTGCTACCGAATTACTTAAAGATGTTTGTGAATATTCAAGTAATCATGAAGTTCCTTCAGTTTTTGTGTCAATTTATAAAACTTCTCAATGGTTACTGAAATATATTCTACCGAAGCGTTGTCAAAAAATCGATCTTCCTAATTTAGAAACTATCTTTAATTCTCAATTTGATAACATTAAAAAGTTAAGTAACGAACTCCTAAAGATGAATCTTAGAAAGGTATTTAAAAATGAAAAATTGATCGTTGATAAGATTAATTTAAATTCCACTGTTAAGTTTGCTAATGCTGTGCCTAAATGGACCAACTGTTCTTCCTGCGTACCAATAGAAAATAAAATAAATGAAGACATTCTGATTATTTTCGCCGTTATAATGAACAATCAGACAGATTTTTATGCCCTTAATATGATTGATGGTTCGATTTTACTTTTAAATAGAGAAAATAAAGAAAAATTTTCTAGAGAAATAGCTAACGATACCTTCTCAGAAATAAAACTTCAAACATTTGGAGAATTTCTTAAGAAACATGATGAAGATTTTAATGTTTTTATTCAAAGATTAGCAAATGTGGCAACAGAACATAAAATAAATAAATTTATGTCAGTTGCCAGGAATCCAACAATGATTGAGGAAAAAGTAGAATTCTTAAAATCATTACTGCCACTTTATACTTGTATGGAAAGTAAAAAATCCGGAAACAAAGGAAGAATATTATTGAGTTGTGGTCTAGATGCTCTTAGTCTTCTACGCATAAAAGTTAAAGATAAATACTTAAATATTACATGGAATAGTTTAATTGCTTACGCAGTTAAACAAATTTCGTCCGTGTTTAAAAAATTAGAATCACTAAATAGAAATGAGAAAAACAATACATTTACTATTAAGGGTAGTAAAATTTCAGAAAAAGAGAAAAAATTTGCTTTAACTAGAAATTTCGCATTACCTCTTCTAAAAGAATTATTGCTACATCCACCGCAAGTGTTGATTTTTGGTTCTGAACTGTCTTTCGATGTTTTTGGATCCACTAATCGTCAACTTCGAAAAATGATACTTGACCCATCAACGGATTTAAGAAATCTTTCGGAATTTAAAAATTTTCTATCATTAGTGGAATTCGGATCAAGTATTATCATCAACAATACAAAATTGCTGCCCGATAATACTGGACTTATACCTAAAGTTCTTGAAAACGGAAAGAATTATAAAATCGTCAGATACTTTTATCCCGGTGGATCTCACCATTTTGGACCAAAGTGCATACTGTCATATGGAAAATTTGCAGAAATTAGAAGAACTAATTCAAGGGCCAAACCTATTGCATTCGTGCAAATAAAATCTAAAGGTCGATTAAGGTTGTACTCTGCATACAATTGGACCAGTGGTACAATTGGAGACAGCAAATTCCGTCTAAACAGAAAAGGTTATCTCAAATTGATTCTTTGAAGTTACAATTTTCAAGAAATTATATAACACTTGTATTGGCATTGTGATGAGAAAATAAAAACTTATAAAATATAAAAAATTTGTTCGATTTGTACGTTTTTTATTAATACTAGAACCAAAACTAGATTGGTCTATCAAAATGTTGTCAGTTCGTGACGTATGAGTAAACATCGCAAACTAATAACACTTTTATAGATGTGTCATGACTTTTGAAAACTCCGTCAAATCGAAATGACAGCATATATGCAATTGAGTGTACAATTTTACTTACATGCAGCTAAATAATTCATATAGCAAAAATAAAATTCATACTAGCTTTAAAAAATGAGAAACTTGTTTGTAATAAATTACTTCAAATACTGCCTTCTAGTTTAATTAAAAGCGGCGAAAGTAACTATATCACTAATATCGTCTCACTTTTTTCTGATGTATTATTCATTATATTCCTTAATTATTTCTTTCTCTCTATTAATTTTTAATTGATGCAAATAGTAAATCTTTCAACCAAAAAAATGTCTTTGTTCACGTGTTTGCTAGTGTACTTGACGCAAACAATCTCTATCAATTTTTTTAGGCAAAAAGTTCAATAACTGTAATACACGTGCAATCATCAAAGTATTTTTCTAGAAAACTTATAATACTGCACAACTGATTAAACAAATGCCAATTAAATATTTTCTCTTTCTGTTATCAGACTAAATACATCAATCAAGGTTTATGCAACATTTTCCTTGAAATAGTAAAATTTTCGAAACGGAGAAACAATTGATACATAGGTTAAGTTTTTAGTAGAAACAAATAGCTGTGAAGGAAGACAATTCATCTTAATACGGTAAGTACTGTTAATCAAATTTTCTTGTTTAGTTTAAACTTTTATTATCATAATAAAAATCTTTTAATAATAAAAATACTTTTAAAATACTTGACCCTAACCTGCGATTCTAACTCAACTATAGTAATTAATCGGTTGATACATTTACTTTGAATGGGTAACCCAGAAATATTAGTCTCTAAATTATGTTCGGTTTCATTAAAATTCCGAAAAATAATATTTCAAAAACTATTTAACTAACCTAAAAATGTTTCTACTCAGATTTAAATGTTTAATTCCCAGGTGTACATTGATTCCACATTGCAGACGTCAGCAAAGAAGAGAACAAAAGTAAAAAATTATTCACAACATTTTCTTTAAAATTTGGCAATTACCAAGAGTATCAGATCGAAATGAACAATGAGACACTCCTCAGTCAGTTAATACAAAACTTTCAGTTTCTTTCTGTTTGTCACTACGTAACGAGTTTTGGTATATTTTTCAACAATCAGGATTTAATTCCCCTGGAATATCAAAATCATTCCGTCTCTGTTCTAAACACTCTTTTTGATTATCTCCACAATTCGGAAAATAAATCTTCAACCAAACTTGAACTCCTTCAGAGAGTGTTAGCCGGAAGTGATCTGTACAATGGGTGAGAAAATGAAACACTTGACCATGATATACCTGGATGATACATTCCAGTACATCATTAGTAATGCTTTATTTTCCCATTATGAAAACATTCACGGTTATTTGGCAGGGGTAATAAATCGAGCGGACAACGTAAAATATTCGGTACTAAAGAAGAACGTATTCCAAGATTTTTTAAAAAATTATAGAAGTTTAGATTACTGCTCATCTAGAAGAGAAAGTATTAAACTCACGTCGACAACAGTTCGCAATGTTTTTAATAATTATATTTTGTCCATCTTTCCCGAACCAGCGGAAGATATGGATATATTGGATGTTAATTACATATACGCAATGATTAGTTTAAAAATCGCCAAATCTATCCAAGCTGCTGGTAATCTATCTTTCGAAAGTTATATTCTCCTATCCCAAGCTATTCAATTTCAAACCATGAATAACGAATCATATCAATTGACATTGGAATTATTTATGGCACCGGCTTTATTTTACTACGCCCATATCAAGAGGGCGATATTTCGTCAAGCTGAAGTATCAACTTTGATAAAGAGTAAAAAATTTTGGTACGAGGCGTACAATATATTATTCCGTTACATTAATATTCTGTTGAGTAGTAGTTTAACAGTAGAAATTAAGAGGATTCTTTATTCGAAATTACAAATTCAACTACAACATTTATTAAGTCGAACCTGTATTGCTGCTGAAATACTGAGAATCTATTGTCACTAATTGAGTAAAGCAGCAGTTTCAGAAATTTATACATATAGCTTTATACAAATTTTCCCGTTGGATATTAAAATTATTTTTACCAAAAGAATGCAGCGTTAATAGATAGTCTTCCAGATTTGGAGGAATTGTACGATCAACAGTTTGATAAGGTACAAAAAAAATTCAATGAGATTGAACAAAATTCGCTGGAGCAGGTATTGTTAGATGGTAAAATGATAGAGAGGATGAATTTAAATTCGACTGTTATAAATGCTAAAGTACCACACTATGATATGTATTGTATGTACTGCCCACCGACCGTTGCCTAGAAAAAAGAATAGTGACATTTATCTAATATTTGCAATAATTGAAAATAAGGAAACTAATTTTTATGCCCTTCGACAGGAAAATAACACTTTGACTTTACTTAGAAGTGATGGAAATAAACGCGAATTTGCCAAAGCAGTCGCTAATGATTTTTCTCTAGAAATGGATATTCCAGTAATTTCGGAAATTTATAAACGAAATGGTGAAGATTATAAGATATTTATAATTTATAAGATATAAATCAGTTTTAAAGATACCTAATCACCGTACATGTAAAATGCAAAATTCTTTTATGATTAGAGGTGCGAGGTTATGGAATAAATTGCCACCTTCGATTAGAGATGTATCACAACAATTTTCTTTTAAGAAACTATTTTTTGAATTGCTATTTAAATGTAACAATAATTTATTTGAAATAACTTATTGGTAAATTAATTAATATATCTATATTTTTTTTCTTTTCTTTTTCTCTTCTTGTTATTTTGTTATTCTTTAAATATAGTTTATATAGGATTATAATTACATTATATCCAGTCACAGTTAATAACTTGAACCAAAGTAACAATATATGTAAGCTAAAAGCATATTATATTATAAGATTAATTTATTTTTATTTTTAATACTCAGTATTCTAATATTACTATTATATATTTTTTTTCTCTCCTTTTATGATACAATATATCATTTAAATATGTATATTATGTACTGTTCCTTGGAGGGCTAATTAGCCCAAGGAACTTTCAAAAGTTACCCTGTAAAAAAAAAAGTATTGGGAGGTACGGGATTCCGTATTGCAAGTGCCAACCTGCCAATGCGGTATTCGCGAATTACCGCATTGGGTGTCGTGGTGAATACGGAAATCAAGGGGTCCCAATGCGGTGCAAGTTTTAAGTTTTAAAAAAAACGAAAATACGTGACAGGAGGAAATAATTAGTGTCAGTGCAGAAATATGCGAGTTAAAGGAATGAGAAAATAATAACAGTGAGTAAAAATGAAATTTTAAGAAAAAAAGGTAAGTTGAACTGTCAAATATGAGTCCAATGCGGCGTAGGCTGCTTTCAATGCGGTACACAATCGGTACATAGTGCAAGTCGCCAGTAGAGGGCAGAAGCAAGCAGAGCGAATCGAGCGAACACAGTGGCCCAGCTGACGTATGATTTGCATTACATTACTTTCCAATTTTTTATTTTATAACCACGTTTCTGCAGGAATCTAAACAATATTTCCGATTATTGTAATTTAGAAGATGCTTACCAATTGTACGTTGGCAGATTTAGTGAAAAGTGTCTGTGTACGGAGACAAATGTGTTAGAAAATGTTTGTTTACCTATTTCACGCCATTCAAACCAGTCAAAGTTGCTTTTGCTGTGGCGCATTGAAATCAACCTATGCCGCATTGGGCCCATATTTGACAGTTCAACTTACCTTTTTTTCTTAAAATTTCATTTTTACACTCACTATTATTGTTTTCTCATTCCTTTAACTCGCATATTTCTCCACTGACACTAATTATTTCCTCCTGTCACGTATTTTCGTTTTTTTAAAGCTTAAAACTGGCACCGCATTGGGACCCCTTGATTTCCGTATTCACCACGACACCCAATGCGGTAATTCGCGAATACCGCATTGGCAGGTTGGCACTTGCAATACGGAATCCCGTACCTCCCAATACTTTTTTTTTTACAGGGTAAATAAATAAATAAATAAATAAATGTTTGTTTAAAAGATTGCTGATATTAATACCGAACAGTTTGTACAGGGTCTTAAGAAACATTACAGAGATCCTACAGACATGGAGTTAGTAATAGATTTTCTGAAATCATTAGTGCCATTTTATACCTGTATTAAAAATATAAAATCCGGAAATCGAGAAGGAGCATCGATAAGTTGTACCTTCGATGTTCTTAGTCTTCTTCTACTCGCTGGAGTTGGAGCAAAATATTTCTCCGTTATGTGGAGTAGTATGATTGCTTAAATAGGACCCAAGCTTTATCAAGTATATCAAAATCAGCATTCACTAAATTGATCATGTCAACCGGTTTGAACCAAATTTATACAACCCTAACAGAAGAAATTCTAACCAAGCAACTTCTAAAAGACATCACAGTCGAGTCGCTAAGAACATTGGATCCTGGTTTTGTACATTTTTACAATTTTTTTGATTCTCTAGTCAAATAGTGGGAAATATGATCCGGGCATTATCGTCAAGATTGAAAAGCATGACGAGGCTGAAGAATCTTCTAAAATCTATTAAACCAGTAAATAACATTCTTGCCTGGAATGCAAAAATGCTAAAAGACTCTTCGGTCGTGATTCATCAGGAGAATAATTATAAGGTCGTTAGATATCTTTATCCTGGGGGTTCGAATTATTACGGACCTAAGTGCATAGCATCGTTTGAAAAAGATGCCGAAATGATAACTATCGAAGGAAATGCATTTCAAGTTCCTGTTGTACCTGTGAGATCCACCGGTAATTCAATCCACTATCAAGAACAGTTTCCAGAAACGAGTACAATTTCTAAAGAGAAACTAGAAATTGGTAGAGATGACATACTTCGTAGAATAGGAAACTACATCGAAATTATTGCAGCGGAAGGAGGAGATTTCAGCGTCATTCGTAATTATCACGTCTATCATAATACAATCGAGTGGAAGAAGACCCCTGAAGGGACCCAAAACCAGATTAGCAATAATCCAACTGTTGATACTAACGCCCTTGTGAAGACTGATCCCATAATACTCCTGGAACTTCAAGAAAGCGAGTACGCAATGACGTTGTAACTAGTCCATCAAAAAAATCTCAAAATCAACAATCTATTAGCAGGAGTTTTGTCTACCAAGAAGATATGAAACAAACAGTACATTTGTTGACAAAATTTAAAGAGAATGGTTTAACCAACTCATTAGAAAATAACGAACTGTTATCCCTGCGAAAAGCTGTTCACTCAATGGATTTTTATCAAACCATCAATAATGTATTTAAGCCACCAAAAATTTTATTCTAAATATCAATGGCGAGAATAATTTAGTTCCTACTTATGATAAATTGGCGAGAGAAATCTACGCGAGTAACACATTTCCAATCCAGTATATGAGATTTAAAATTGATAATAGCAATTTCGTTAATGATATTCTATTTCAAAAATCACTAGTGCAGATAAATGATATTGATATTGCACGAAATACAATTTTTACCATTTATAATGGTATTTATAAACAGAAAGTTGAACCGGTGTTTGAAATTTATCACAATTCACCTAACATTAGAGAACTTATGCGAATTGATCTATTCGTTTACTTCCAGTACTTTATTATTAGATGCACTAGCACCGAATAGATTAGCTATTGCATTACGTAGACTTGCCTTAAGACAGTGTAGTGAGCCATTACTCTCTACTCTAACTACAATTTATTCTATTTCAAAAATTTCTTTAGAGGGATATCAAGAATTAATAAGATACAAAACTGGTGGTTTTATTCGTTTTCCAAAGATGATTAAATTTTTATCGAAGCAAGATAATTTGGTAAATACTATGCAACTTAGTAAACCTTCAGATATAATAGTAATGTATCATTTAACAATATCAAATAAGGCTGGAATAGCTGATTTAACTTCTATTCTAAGTGAGGAAAATGGACGTATGTATATATTTGAAGAAATGAAATTGAAAATTATTGAAAGGAGTAAAGAGATAATTGATGGAACGGATGTCTTTGTAATAAAAGTCGAAGACGATAAATCATCAATAGAGAGACGAATAGTCTGTACAGTAAACAGAATTAATCAATTATTTCTACATGGTTCTAAACTTCAAGTTAATAATATTAACAGTCGCCGATGAAAACGTCGATCTAAGAACAAGTAATAGTTTGTGTGTTTTACAAATTTTGAAAAGCTGTCTCTAAAAATACACGGCGTCAATATAATCAAAATCAAATTCACAGATAATTTTATCTTTTCCAGTATTTTTAGTATTAAAAAATTTAGACAATTTAATATTTATAATTTTTAAATATTGTTGAAATTCTAAGCCGAATTTTTGTCATTCTGTAATAAAATATTTTTTTAAGTACCTACATAACCAAAACGTTAGTAAAACAATATAAAACATTTAAAATAATAAATATAGGTAAAGGAATGATAATTATGTAGCATCGAAAACACGAGAAAGGAATAAAATATTTTTTCAAAAACAAATATAGTAAAGCTAATAAATTATTTTATTAAATTTTTATTGTTGAACGGAAAATTTTATGTTAGGAAAAAAAAAAATATTTGATTATTCTTTAATTACCATTTTTAATGAATGAAAACCAAAAAGTTAAATAAAGAAAATTTTGCCAATTTAATAATAAACGAATTGCAGTTATAATGTTTTCTTAAAATCTGTTGAATTTGTCTCACTAAAACTTAATTTAATTATTTCGAATTATAAATTAAAATTATAGACCGATTATTACTGATTATTTCACGCTTACTTCTTGACAGTTGTATAACGACTGACTGAAGTTACAAAATTTTCATAATTGTTAAAGATCTGGGATCTTTGACACAATTAAACGAGCACAATGTATTATTCAATTACATTTATTGATAATAAAAATCGAGCGATACATTTGCTAAGACGTGCAAAACAGTAATAAGAACGAACACCTGGTGGAAGTTGACCAGTTTCATCTACCAAGAAGATATGAAACAAACAGTCAATTTGTTGACAAAATTTAGAGAGAATGGTTTTCAAATAATAATTTGAAAATAATAAATAAACTAATGTAGAATCAAAAACACGAAAAAAGAATAAAATATTTTTTCGAAAACAATTTTTATGTCGTAAATAAATTACTTTATTACATTCCTTTTGATAAACGGAAAATTTCAAGATTAAGAAAAAGTTTTTATTTGATAATTCTCTAGTTCAAAGGTGATACAAGTTATATCAACAAACATACGGTAAGCATTCTTTTTCTTATTAATTGTAGAGATATATGCGTAGTAGTTTTGATTTTGTAAAAAATTTTAAACAATTTTCAACAAATTTTGATTCTTAACATGTGCGTAATTCACTCATTAGATCGAGTTCCCTCTGCATTTACCCCTGCCTTCCTATTCCCCAAACACGCAACCGTATTTAAGGGGTAGATCTCCACTAACATTCAAAAGAACAATGGCTCAAATAAGATTAATTAACTCTTATGTATGTAGAATAATAACCGAAAATTTTGTGTACTGCTTCAAGAAAAATAATTACTGTTCATTTTGTAAAAGAGAATTCGACTCTCTTTACCATCTTCTTACAAATTGCCCAGCGTGCGCCCATATCTGTGAATTTTATTTCCCGAACAAAAATAGAGAAATGCACTCATGTGAATTTTGGATTGATGTTATGTCTTCGGAGAATACTAGTGTAGCAAGAAATCTAGTCAAATTAATTGTTAAAATTTTGAATGAACGTATTATACACGAAATGTAAATAAAATATAAATGCTTTGCTGAGGTGTGAATACTAATATTATCATTATGTAATGAGACTTCGCTTGTATAAGCCCTAGGGGCTAAGAACAAGGTTTTGAATAAATTAAATTAATAACAATAATAATTCACTCATTATATATTATTCAATAATTTTTCAAAGTTTAAATATCTACTTAAACAATTTACTTGATTCTTGCTAGTTTTATTGTGACACAAGACAATATTGTTAATAATGACAAAAAACTAGGTGCGTTTTTAACAGTTCGATTATGCGTCATCAGGTTGGGCTGTGTGTTAAAAAATAACATGAAGGCACTTTTTTAACAAAGTTCATAGTGCTTATGGAAGATCGCGCTTTGATATACGCAAGTTATCGTTACCGCTTTGCCCCACATTCCCCTACTTCGGTTTGTATAATCCCAACGCAGTTAGGATGTTGGCGTGGTCCTCCACAGTTCTGAGGAAGGTGAAATATTATAATATATAAAAAAAATTTTATGTAGGTAGTTTTTAAAGGTGTTACATCCTGAGCGGAAGGCGAGGTTACAGGTTAAGTTATTAAACTTTTTGGAGGTATTGTAAGATGATTATGGTGAAGTTGGTAAAGCTTGAGATTTTTAAGTAGAATCGTTTGTACTTGTTAAAACTATGGGTTATGTGTTAACAACACATAAATACGGCCTCTTAACAATTTTATTTATGATTCAAATATAATGTTTTAAATTGTTACATAAATGTTACTTACGTTTTAATACATAATAGTAGTAGATTTAGGTTATAGCGTTGGACAGATAAGTTTTGTTTTCAAAGATGTTGTTTCAATTAAATGAAACTTAAAAGTTTATTATGTTACACTTAAGTAACTTTCACAACTTTAGGGTTTTTGCGTAAACTTCAAGAGTTAACACCGTTTTTGTCCAAAGATTTTTGCCCGTCAAGGAAGGAAAAAATAAATTTAACATCCTTGACAATTGAAAAAATTTTCAATGATAATATTTGGTCAATGTTTCCCGAACCGGAGGAAAACCCTAAAATAACGGATATTAATTACATATACGGTTTAAAAATCGCCCGTTCTGTTTAAGCTGATGCTGTGAATTTATCATTTAAAAGTTATTATCATTTGGGACTAGAAATTTAATTTAGAAAGTTTGAATTTAACATATTTGAAGATGTTTTGGAATTATTTATGACATCAGCTTTATTTTATTATGCCTCTAAACAGAAGGATCAATTTCGTAAAGAATTTAAAGCAAGTACGTCCAGGGGAGAACAACCTTACGCAATAAAACAAATTTCGTCTGTGTTTAAAAAATTAAATTCATTAAACAGAGTGGAGGAAAATGTTACATTACCTATCAAGGGTAGTAAAATTTCAGAAGAGAAAAAAGTTGCTTTTAATAAAAATTTCGTATTACCTTTTCTAATAGAATTATCGTCACATCCGCCACAAATGTTGATTTTTTTTTGGTTCTGAACTGTTATACACGATTTTATTGTTTTCTTTCTTTAATCGTCAATTCAGTCCGCGTTGTACTCGATTATTGTGCAAGTTATCAGTTTTAACACTTAGAATTGTTAGTTTCTGCTCGCGAAAAAGAGTGATACGAAACACTGTTTGTTTCTTCATAAGGTGCAAGTTAAACACTTACAACACTTATAATAAAGAAAAATGTAACTGAGACTCTAACAACATACTTTTCCAAGTTATTAACACAATTAACTTTATTAAACACTTCGCTCTTGATTTTATCATTTTACGCTGATCGGTGAATTTGTTAAAATAAAAAACTCTTCAAATTTTGTTAAATCTAAGGTTTACTTTAGAGTTAATTTTACGCCGATCGGCAAATTTTAACCTTAAAGATATCTATAGCTTTATTTTTAATAGAATTTTCATAACTAATTTCACATTAATAAAAAAAGGCAAAACAAATATTTTTATAATTAAAGACAAAATGTCTTTCTTTGCAGTTTAGGATCATGCAAAATTGTGACGGGAAACCGAGAAACAGAGGAGGAAAAAGAAATCAGAATCGTTTTCAACAACAACAAATTGAAATTAATGATAAATTATTACAAGTACAAAAATTATATTCGCAACCAGAATTTTCAAAATTTTTCGAAAAATTGTTAGTTAATACGGAACAATTATTAAATAAAGATAAAAAATTGTAACAAAATTTTGTAAAAATTTATAAATTAAAAAATATAAATCTCTCATGAATAATTACATACATATGTTTCCTCATTATTCAGATGTTAATTTTAAATCCAATCATCTTATATCTCAATCAGGAAAACTTGTAGTTGATCTAACCGTATCTTTAAATTTAATTAAACAGTAGGAATTACCATCTTCTATTCATATTAATAGAAATAATAATCATTTACTTTTTGTCAGAGAAATACAAACTATTGGATTAGTAAATTTTTCAATTAACGATATAGTAATAAACTATAATATTGGAGAAGATTCAATAAACGAATTACGCCTTATGAATAAATTTAACAATAATAGAATTTAGCGATTTTTCTTTGAGATTTGAAGTTGACGTTTATTCTCATAGTTCAGAAATCATCGGTGTATTAGGAGCACTATTTCTTAAACTTTGTAAACAATAATTATTTATAAACAAACAAACTCCCTCGCGCCGATTAACAATGGCTGCAGTACCAAGTAAGAAGTAAGGAATTAATAAGAATTTGAAATTTTTAATTCTTTTGAATTTCGTTTCTGACCAATTCTTTTCATTTTCATTTGGAGAAGCCGAAAAGAAACTAAGTTTATTCTTTTGAATACCGTTTTAATATTTTAAGCGGAAAAAAAATTTGTCGGTTTGAAGATTTGAAACCTCAAGTTTCATTGTCGGAGACAAACCTTGTCCGCTCAGCTATTTAAACTGTACTATGACAAGCGAATTTTAGAAGCACTTATCTCAAAGTGTTGCAAACTTCAGAGGAATTAAAAAAATACAAAATATTAAAACGGAATAGATAGGAATTGAACTTACCGAGTATCACACAGTATTTCGGAATTCACAAAAATTCAAAAATTGAAGAAATATTAAAACGGAATTGATTGGAATTCACTTTTAAGAAATCTTCGCCTCAAAAAGAAATACATAGGAATTGGACAGGAACGGAATTAAAAAAAATTAATAATTTAACATTTTCTGTAAAAAGTTAAAAATGTTCAATTCTTCTCAATTCCTTACTTCTTACTGGGTAATTTCTCAGTTTTGGTCAAATGTTTGTTTATCAAATTTATTTATTTATATTGTCGTATTTTCTTTCATGAAAATATCGATCGAATTCAAAATCGAGACGTTTCCCGGCTATCGTCTTGCTAGCAGAAAAGAACGATCATCACACCTGCGCAGATTCTATATTCCGTTCACCCACAGCAGAAAACTACAACGTCAACCAAACGAAAATCGAATTGACTCGATATACCTGTCACTTTTTAAATTTCAAAAGTCATCTTACAAATAACCCTTTGAGTAAATTAGAATTATTTTCTATATTTACCAGATTCTACTGGAACCTCAAAAATGTTAATAGATTGTCTATTGAACAGGATGGTCCCTGTCATTTCTCTATATTGCAAAGAGACACCTTTTGCCCAGGCCCGAATTCTCATGTCACTAATCTCAACTTTTCCCTTTTTGATTTACGATTAATTTTGACTTATTACATTTCCTTTTATGAGTGACAATAAGAGAATTTTGGAGGTTGACGACAAGGAAAATACGAATTGAAAAGTAAAAATCTCAGGAAGCGAGAAATTACAAATTAAAATATACTCCGATGTCACTATTTTTCACCGTAATTACGCTCCTGTTTTCGACGGAGTAATACTAGTTTGGGACCATGGTAACCGGCGGGGTGAACGGAGGAGAGGAATCAAGGCAGCATGTTCATCAGGAAAATTCTTATCGCTTTCTTTCTATTCTACAACCTTCCGAAGCAGCCGATTCTAAAGGAAGATCTTCATCAAATTCTCGATTTTCTCAATTTTTCTTTCTTTATTATCTATTGTGATATTTGTATGTGTGCTGACCTTTGACGTTTTTCTTGGATTCCCAAATAAGAGTTAAAAATGTAAGTCAAGTCACAGTACTCTCCGTTTCTTTCTTTAAAAATGTAATTTTCTTTGTTTTCCATTTTTGTATAATGTAACAAGTGGTTCAGCCGGCCTCATGGCCGAGTGAGAATACATTAATATTATATTAATTTCTTATATTTATGGTTCATATTAATTCTAGCTTTTTTTATTTAAATTGTTATTGTATAATATTAATTGTTTAAATTGGAAATTGTTTCTTTTATTGAATTCTTTTATTCTCACTCGACCATGTTGCTAGTCTATGACAGGTTGTCCCAATTATTAGCTAGAGCAAACGCAACAATCGCTAGTTCTTATGGAGCACCTAGTGCCAAAACCCAAATGGAACCACTAAATTATTATGCTTTGGAAGCCTTTATAAAAAGACAATATAGGCAAGAAATCCTGCAAAACTTAAAGATGCTTTTGAAATTGCTTTAAAGTTCAAACTACGTCACGATTGTCATAAACCTGATTACAATGCTTATTATTATTCGCGATATTAACCACAAGATTACAGGTATCGAGAAAGTAGCCCTAGTAATAGAGTGCAATTTTCATATCCTAATGAACAAACGAGATATTGTTCTCAATCACCCACTCTCACTGTTATACTGAGAAACCCATATCCACCATACATGCCAAATAACAATTTTTCACCACAATATCCTAATCATCCAAACTTGTTTCTCCCTAATGCTTATATGCCATATAACTCTTATCCCTTTTACACGTATCCTCCTCCACAAGAAGCGTATTTTAAGGATTAATTTCGAAAAGAATTTGAAACAATTATGTCCACGGGTAATAAATCTTTGTCGAAGGCATATATAATTTTTTCCTCTTCTTCTACTTGGACTGTGGCTACGACTATGACCAAGTAAATATAGTGTTTCTCACTAGTTTGGAACTTCTCTCCGATTACTTTTAGATAAAGGAACTAACATTAATTGCTACTAAATTAGTTAAAGATGTTTGTGAATATTCAAGTAATGATGAAGTTCCTTCAGTTTTTGTGTCAATTTATAAAACTTCTCAATAGAAAAGACAGTTATAATTAAAAGAGTTTTTGCATGGCTCAGTTTTACATTTATGAATTCTTAGTAAATTAAGACATCTAAGTTCTCTAAAAGTAATCTTAGATCTAAAAATGAGTTTATCAAATAAGTATTTTGATTCTTTAGTATTTAGAATTACATACACTACCGTTCAAAAGTATCAGGACAATTACATTCGACTCTATGAAAAAACATGTCATCACTTTTTCAATAATATCTTGGAAATAAAAGGAGGTACAAAAAAAACTTAACCCTTTCAGTCCCAGTGGTCGATATATCGACCACCTTTCAAGTCACCGATATTTTTAACATAACTTAAAGGAAGAATTTAAATAATTGCATATTTCTTATTTTTATGTTTCTAAAAATAGGGTTTAGTAGTTTTTTAACCAATTAAGGTAGTACGCTCGCGACAGTCACTCTCAAAAGTAAATTTTAATAAAATGCTATAGTATGGTGCAGTTACTGTAGCATATTTTTGCTTGGACTGTACTGAATACATAGTCAGCCCTATGTACAGACACACTCACACACAAGTATACTAGTCAGATTAGAATATTATATTATATTATATCTTTTAACTGAAACGGTTAATATTGTTAAATCTTTTTGTTATAAATTTCTCAAACATTCATTTATAAAATATAGTGGTTTTTTAAAACAATCTATAGAAAATTTTAGAAGTTATTAGAAGAATTGTGCCGTTTACATGCACTTTTCATAGGTTAACCATGTTAAATAACAAACTTTGAACTTAAATATCTTGTTTTAGAAACGGTCAATTTTTTTAATATTTTGCAAATACATAGATCTTGTTATTAACTATTCTGATTTCAAATTTCATGAAATTCTATAGAAAAGTGCGATCGCGAGCGTACTACCTTAATCTATATTATTTATGTTTTTTTTATTAACAAACTTATACACGGCAACGAATTATTTTAGGTTAAACTTGACTGTAATATAGTTAAATCAGTACCTAACATATACTTTAAATTATGGTTGTTTCCTAAATTCTCGGGGTTTGCTGAAAATTAATCTAAAATCAGGTATGCAAATTCAAATTGGTGGATCCAATATGGCGGACAAAATTAATAATTAAACAAATTCGCTTGAAAATAGTCTTTCGGGGGCTTTTGGGGTCGCTGATTACGAATCTAAAGTCAGGTTTTAAAAATTCAAAATGGCGGATCCAATATGGCAGACAAAATTTGAAAATTAAACAAATTTGCTTAAAAATAGTCTCTCGGGGGTTTTTGGGGTCGCTGATTACAAATCTAAAGTCAGTTTTTAAAAATTCAAAATAGTGGATCCATAAATCCATATGGCGGACATAAAATTTACGAATTTGGCAACACCCTCCTCTTTTTTAATACGGGCTTGGGACCGGCAATGGCAGAGTTTCATTTCTTTAAAAAAAATTTTTTTTGTTTTTTTAGAATGTTTTCCCATTATTTTGTAGAGTTTTTTTAGACGCATCTTTTGAGCCCTAATTGAACATTTTTTGTTCATATTAACCGGAGATATTAAACTTTTAAAAATAAAAAATTATGGAAATTTATATATTTCTATTATTTTTATTTCTATGAGGAAGCAAAGTGTTCATGAAATGAGCACCAAAATTATAAAAAAATACATAACTTGGCAGCGGTCTTTTTTTGAATCTTTTTATATTTGTTGTAACAATCGACAAAAGACAAGTAACGAAACATAAAAGACGAACGACAAAAAAACAAAATACAATCAAGAGAAAACAAAGGGAAAACGACAAAAAACAGTATTTCTCTCCTACTTTTAATATTATTTTTGTTATAGTCGTAACATTAGATTCGCCATTTAAAAATTTTGTAAGAATGATTCCAGATTTGTATTTACACACTCCACAAACTTCCAAAAAGCAGAATTCAGTCCTATATTGTCAATTTTTAATTTTTTACTATATTGTATCCATTATTATAAAGTTAGAAAAACTGACTTCAGATAAGATTCGGATAGATGGCGTAACGATTCACATCGTTACTTTAATAAATAAATTATTAACATATTAATTTCACTTACTTGCAGCTAAATAATCCCAGTAGCAAAAATAATATTCGTACTAATTTTAAAAAATGAGAAACCTGCTTTTAATAATAATTAACTTAATAATTGACTTCTAGTTTAGTCAAAAGCAGCGAAAGTTACTCAATCATTAATATTGGCTTACTTTGTTTCAGCAGTATTAATAATTATATGCTTTAATAATTTCTTTCCCTATATTAATTTTTAATTGATGCGAATAGGAAATCTTTGAACCAAAAAATGTCTTTGTTCAGGTGTTTGCTTATGTACTTGAGGCAAACAATCTCTATCTATTTTTTTAGGCAAAAAGTTCAATAACTGTAATACACGTGCAATTATTAAAGTATTTGTCTAAAAAAATTATAATACTGCACAACTGATTAAACAAAACGGAATTAAATATTTTCTCTTTCAGTAACCAGACGAAATACATTAATCAAGATTTATGCAAAATTTTCCTTGAAATAGTAAAATTTTCGCGAAGGAAAAACAATTGATAGATAGGTTAAGTTTTCAGTAGGAACAAACAGATGTGAAGGAAGACAATTTATCTAAATACGGTAAGTACTGTAAATAAAATTTTCTTGTTTAGTTTAAACTTTTATTATTACACCCAATAACATATATGATTTTCTTCCGGTTTGGACAACTTTTTGTAAAGTTCATTCTATAAGAATGTTTTAAGTCTATGGCGTACTCAATTCCATTACGCCATAGACTTAAACATTCTTATAGAAGGCACACCACTTTTCAAAAAGTTGTACAAACCGGAAGGAAAGCATATATGTTATTTGTATAATAACATTTTTTAATAATAAAAATAATTCTTAAAATACTTGACTGTAACCAGCAATTTCTACTCAACTAGTAATAATTAATCGATTGATACATTTACTTTGACAAATGAGTCACCCAGAAATATTGGTCTCTGCAATATCCTTTCTACTATCAGTCAGTTTTCCTGAAAATTACGACAGATGACGATATTTCAAAAACTACTTAACTAACCTACAAATACTTCTACTCAGATATAAATATTTAATTTCCAGGTGTACTTTGATCCCACATTGCAAACGTCAGCAAAGAAGAGAACAAAAGTAGAAAAAAATATTTAGAAATTATCAAGAGTATCAGATCAAAATGAACTATGTGACACTCCTCAGTCAGTCAGTGCCAAACTTTCAGTTTCTAACTGTTTGTCACTACATAACAAGTTTTGGTATATTTTTCAACAATCAGGATTTAATTTCCCTTGAATATCAAAATCATTCCGTCTCTGTTCTAAACACTCTTTTTGATTATCTTCACTATGCGGAAAATGAATCTTCAACAAAACTTGAACTCCTTCAGAGAGTGTTGGCTGGAAGTGATCTGTACGGTGGAGGAGAAAATGAAACACTTGACATGAAATACGTGGATGACACATTTCACTACATCATTACTAATGCTCTCTTTTCCCATTATGGAAACATTCACGGTTATTTAGCAGAAATTATAAATCGAATAAACAAAATAAAATATTCGGAACTAAAAGAGAACGTATTCTATGATTTTTCGAAAAATTACAAAAGTTTAGATTACTGCTCATCTAGAAGAGAAAACATTGAACTCACGTCGACAACAGTTCGCAATGTTTTTGATAATCATATTTGGTCAATATTTCCCGAACCAGAGGAAGATATAGATATATTGGATGTTAATTACATATACGCAATGATTGGTTTAAAAATCGCAGAATCTATCCAATTTGCAGGTAATCTATCTTTCGACAATTATATTCTCCTATCCCAAGCTATCGAATTTCAAACAATGGATAACGAATCTTATCAATTGACTTTGGAATTATTTAAGGCACCAGCATTATTTTACTACGCTCATATCGAGAGGGTGATATTTCGTCAAGCTGATGTATCAACTTTGATGAAAAGTGAAAAATTCTGGTACGAGGCGTACAAGAAATTATTCAGTTACATTAATATTCTGTTGAGTAGTAGTTTAAGAATAGAAATGAAGAGGAGTCTTTATTCGAAATTACAAACTCAACTGCAACATTTATTAAGTCGATCCTTTATTGCTGCTGAACTATTGAAAATCTATTGTAGCTACTCGAGTATAGCAGAAGTTTCGGAAATTTATATAGCTTTATACAAGTTTTCTCGTTGGATATTAAAATTATTTTTACCAAAAGAATGCAGCGGTGATAGTCTTCCAGATTTGGAGGAATTGTACGATCAGCAGTTTGATGAGGTACGGAAAACATTCAATGAGATTGAACAAAATTCGTTGGAACAGGTATTGCTGGATGGTGACATGATAAAGAGGATGAATTTAAATTCGACTGTTCTAAATGCTAATATACCACACCATAATATGCATTGTATGTACTGCCCACCGATGCCTAGAAAAAAGAATAGTGACATTTATTTAATATTTGCAATAATTGAAAACAAGAAAACTGACTTTTATGCTCTTCGACAGGAAAATAATACTTTGACATTACTTAAAAGTGATGGAAATGAACGCGAATTTTCCAAAGCAGTCGCTAATGATTCTTCCCTAGAAATGGAGATTCCAGTAATTTCGCAAATTTATAAACGAAATGGTGAAGATTATAAGATATTTGTTCAAAAGATTGCTGATATTAAGACCGAACAGTTTGTACAGGGTCTCAAGAAACATTACAGAGATCCTACAGACATGGAGTTAGTAGTAGATTTTCTGAAATCATTAGTGCCATTCTATACCTGTATTGAAAATATAAAATCCGGAAATCGAGGAGGTGCAGCAATAAGTTGTACTTTCGATGTTCTGAGTTTTCTTCCTATCGCTGGAGTTGGTGCAAAATATTTCTCCGTTATGTGGAGTAGTATGATTGCTAAAATAGGACCCCAGGCTTTATCGAGTATATCAAAATCAGCAATAACCAAATTGACGATGTTAACCAGCTTGAACCAGATTTATACAACCCTAGCAGAAGAAATTCTAACCAAGCAGCTTCTAAAAGACATCACAGTCGCCTCGCTAAGAACATTGGATCCCGGTTTAGAACTATCATACAATTTTTTTAGATTGTCCAGTCAAATGGTGGGAAACATGATTCGGTCATTATCGTCAAGACTGAAAGGCATGTCGAGGATGAAGAATCTTCTACAATCTATTGAACCAGTAACTAACTTTCTTGCCAGGAATGCAAAAATGTTAAAATACTCTTCTGTCGTTATTAATCAGGAGAATAATTATAAAGTCGTTAGATATCTCTATCCCGGGGGTTCGAATTATTATGGACCTAAGTGCGTAGCATCGTTTGGAAAAGTTGCCGAAATAAGAACTATCGAAGGGAATGCATTTCAAGTTCCCGTTGTACCTGTAAAATCCACCGGTAATTCAATCCAGTATCAAGAATACGTTCCAGAAACGGGCACAATTTCTAAAGAGAAACTAGAAATTGGAAGAGATGACATACTTCGTAGAATTGGAAATTACATCGAAATGATTGCAGCGGAAGGTGGAGATATAAGATTCATACGTAATTATCACGTCTATCATAATACAATCGAGTGGAAGAAGACCCCTGAAGGGACCCAAAACCAAATTAGCAATAATCCAACTGGTGATACTAACGCCGATGTGGAAGTTGACTTCAGTACTCCAGGAACTTCAAGAAATCGAGAACCCAATGACGACGTATCTAACCCATCAAAAAAGTCGCGAAATCAACTATCTATCAGCAGGAATTTTATCCACCAAGAAGATATGAAGCACACAGTAAATTTGTTGACAAAATTTAAAGATAATGGTTTAACCAGCTTATTACAAAATAACGAATTGTTATCCCTGCGAAAAATTGTTCACTCCATGGATTTTTATCAAACCATAAATAATGTATTTAAGCCACCACAAGATTTATGGTTCACAAAAAAATTAACAAGACCATCTATTGTTGCCAATTTAAAAAATCAAAAAGGAAAGGACTTTTACTTTAATGATATAACGATAATTACGGACACAAATCCAAGTGATATTATACTCAAAAAAAATCCCCGATTTACATTAGTAACCGAAGTTCGTTATCGTATACAATTTGATTCTCAATACGGTCTCCTTGATCTGTCTGCATTTCATAGTAGTTTCAAAAATCAATATATTGTATTACCGGAAGTGGAGTTTTTCGTCAAGGATACAAAGTTTTATAATGGAAAAGAAATTTTGGTTTTGGAAATGCAACAGAAAGCGATGTCAAAGGAAAGATGGTTAAAGATTAATGAATGGCATGATATTAGACTTCAGAAGATGGAATCAATACTGAATGAGAGGAAAGAAAAGATTGAGAGTGCTGCAATGTTTGTAGCAGAAAATACACCTCTACACAGATTTGCCGAAGCTGAGCAAGCTTTCAAAAATTTTATTTTGAATATCAATGGCGAAAATAATTTAGTTCCCACCTATGATAAATTGGCGAGGGAAATCTACGCGAGTGATTCAATTCCAGTCGAGTATATAAGATTTAAAATACATAATAACAATTTTGTTGATGATGTTCTGTATCAAAAATCACTAGTCCAGGTGAATGATATTAATATTGCACGGTATACAATTTTTACCTCATTTAAAGGTATTTATAAACAGAAAGTTGAACCGGTGTTTGAAATTTATCACAATTCACCTAATATTAGGGAAGTTATGCGATTTGAGGATTTTTATGTGATCTATTCTTTTACTTTCAGGAGTTTATTATTTGATGCACTTGCACCAAAGAGAGTCGCTATTTCATTACGTAGGCTTGCCTTAAGACAGTGTAGTGAGCCCTTACTCTCTACTCCAATTACAATATATTCTATATCAAAAATTACTCCAGAAGGATTTCAAGAAGTAATAAGATTAAAAACTGGTGGTTATATCCGCTTTCCAAGAATGGTTAGATTTTTATCGAAAAAAGAAAATTTGGTGAATACTATTGAATTCAATGAACCTTCAGATATAATAGTAATGTATGAATTTACAATATCAAATAAGGCTGGAATAGCTGATCTAAGTTCTATTCTAAATCAGAAAAATGGACAAATGTATTTAATGGAAGAAATGAAAATAAAAATTATTGAAAGGCGTAAGGAGATAATTGATGGAAAGGATGTTTTCGTAATAAAAATCGAAGACGATAAAATCCCAACAGAGAGAAGGATGGTCAATACAGTAAACAGAATGAATCAAATAATTCAACATGATTTTAAAGTTCAAGTTAATAATATCAACAGTAACCGATAATAACGTTTGTTTTATTTTATCATATTCTGATTAACATGCGAAATTCTTTTAAATGAAGTTCGCTATCAGTACAAATATTTGTTTGTGTATTTTACAAATTTTGAGAAGCAGTCTTTTCAAATGTAGTGTGTCATAATCAGGTTAAAATAAATTTTTAAATATTACAATGTATTAAAATAAATAATGTAAAGTTTGGAAACTGCGTTACTGAACAACTGGTTACACAAAGTGGAATTAAATTGTATTTTATAATTAGACTACTGAGGCTTCTCGAGAATATTATATTACACTTAAATTCATATAAAATAATTACCATTCTACAAAAATTGGTAGATCATAATATTAGTATACAATCCAAGAATTCGCAAGTACGTTATGAACAATCTAACTCTTCTTGTGCATCAGCCAACAAATTTTCAGTTTCTTTCTGTTTGTCACTACATAACAAGTTTTGGATTGTTCTTCTTCAATCAGAATCTCATTCCTCTGGAACATAGAAATCACTCTGTTTCTGTATTAAATACATTTTTTGATTACATTCACAATTCGGAGAATGAATCAACAACAAAACTTGAACTCCTTCGGCGAGTGCTAGCAGGAAGTGATCTTTACGGAGGTGGTGAAGATGAAATACTTGATATGAAATACTTGAACGAAACATATCAGTACATCATTAGTAGTGCTCTTTTTTCGCACTATGGTAACATTCACGGTTACTTGGCTGGAATAATTAGTCGAGCAGAAAACATAACATATACGGAACTCAAGAAAAACGTCTTGCAACAGTTTCGGGAAAGTTACATTAGTCGTGATTATTGTTCGTCAAGATTCGAAAGTATTCAACTTACGTCGATTACAATTGAATATGTTTTTAATCAGAACATTTGGTCAATGTTTCCACAACCAGAAGAATCAATCGAAATAATGGACATTAATTATATATACGCAATGATTGGTTTAAAAATCGGGAGTTCTTTCCAAATTGATAAAAATCTAACTTTCGATAGTTATATTCTCCTATCCCAACTGATGGAATCGCAAATAATCGGAAACGAATCATATCAATTGGCTCTGGAATTATTTGCAACACCGGCTTTATTCTATTTCGCTTATAGTGAGAAGGAAAAATTTCCCGAGGATATAACAATTGTAATAAATACAGACACATTCTGGTCAGTGGTATACAGAAAATTTTTCCATTTCCTTAATCTCTCTGTTGAACATATAATAAGGGAAAGTTTTCAAAAAAGTCTTTTTTTCAAGTTTAAGCAACAAGTAAAGGAAATTAATAATCGAACTTTTATTGCAGCTACGATAATTAAGAAACTGTGTAATTATTCGAACATAAGTCAAGTTTCTTCAAGTTCCATATCAATGTATAAAACGGCAAGATGGATGTACAATTTGAAATTTGCTAGGGAATGTGAAAGTTCTAAACGATTTAGATTACCGGATTTAGAAGAAATTTATAATTCTCAGTTCAATAAGGTGAGAGAGACATTTAATCAAGTGGAACAGAATTTGATGGAGCAAATTCTATTGGAGGGGAAATTGATCGAAAAAATGAATTCCAATTCAACTGTTCAATTTGCATCAGTACCACATCATGATATGCATTGTATGTACTGTGCACCATGGCCAAGAAAGATAAACAGTGATATATATTTATTGTTTGCAATAACCGAAAACGAAGAAACGGATTTCTATGCCATTAGACAGGAGAACAATACTTTGATTTTACTTTCAAGTAGTGTAAACGAACCGGAATTTGCCAGAGCAGTCGCTAATGACTCATCCTTAAGAATGGAAGTTCGTCAATTTTCTCGGTACCTCAAGTATCGTGATGAAGATTACAAAGTGTTTATTAAAAGGGTAGCGGATATTAGGACTGAACTGTTTGTACAGGATTTAAAGAGACGTTACCGAGATCCGACCAGTGCGGAAAAGGTAATTGATTTTGTAAAATCATTGGTGCCATTTTATACCTGTATTGAAAATGTAAAATCCGGAAATACAGGTTCAGCCGTATTTAGTTGTACTCTAGATGTGCTTAGCATTTTGCCAATAGCTGGAATCGCTGTAAAATATTCCTCCATTATGTGGAGTAGTTTAATTACCAAACTAGGACCCCAAGCTTTATGGAGTCTTTCGAAATCGGCAATCAATAAATTAACGATTTCTACTGGTTTCGAGCTAATTTACAAGTCTGTCTTTGTAACACTAACAGAGGAAATTCTAACCAAACGACTTCTAAAAGACATCGCTATCGCTTCCCTACGAACATTGGATCCTGGGTTTGAACTATCATTCCGCTTTGTAAGATTCTCCATTCAAGGTCTTCAAAAAACGTTTCGATTTTTGTCTTCAAAGTTGGGAGCTATTTCGAAATTTAAAAATCTTCTTTTCCCGATTGAATCTGCAATGAGGAGATTAAATATGGATGCAGAATTGTTAGCAGATAAAACGGGACTGATACCAAAGGTTATTTATCAGCATAAGGAGTATAATATCGTTAGATATCTTTATCCCGGTGGTTCAAATTATTTTGGACCGAAGTGCTTAAAAGCGTTTGGAAAAACTGCCGAATTAAGAACGATCGAAGGAAATAGATTTAAAATTCCTGTTGTTCCTTCAAAATCCGGTGATTCAATCTACTATGGGGAATTCGATCTGAAAAGTGGCCAAGTTTCTATGGAGAAGCTCAAAATGGGAGGAGACGATATTCTCCGGAGAATGGGAAAATATGTTAATACCGCTATAGCAGAAGGAATGGATATTAGAGTATTACGTAATTATCACGTCTATCATAATACAATCCACTGGAATAAGACACCACAGAAAGTTGAATTAAATCAAAATTCTATTGTCGACCCGGAACTGAATCATTTAGCTCCAGAGTCTGATACTCCACGAGTTTCTTCAGAAGATTTGAGAAACGGCGATACTCCTCATACATTCGAAGGAGAAAGAAATTCAGATATCATCAGTAGCAGCAGTAGCAGAATTAGAAGCAGTAGTAGTAGCAGCAGCATTGGCAGTAGCAGGATTAGCAGCAACGGCTATATTCACCAAAAGGACCTAGACACAACAATAAATTTATTCGAGAAATTCAAACTGAAGGGACTACCCGGCTTAAAACAAGACCAAGAATTGCTATCGTTTCGAAAGATAGTTGATTCCATGGATTATTATCAATCCAAGAGAACTTTATTTACACCACCGGCAGATTTATGGTTAACCCAAGAATTAACAAGACCATCTATAAGAAATTTCTTAGAAAACCTAAAAGGAAAGAACTTTTATTTTAATGACATTACTCTCTTGACGGACATTAAACCCACTGATATAGTTCCAAAGAAAGTTCCAAAATTCTCTCTAAAAACCGAAGTTCGTTATCATATTCAATTCGTTTCCCAATTTGGACTTCTTGATCTTGCTCCATTTCAGATCTACTCTAAAAATCACTACATCGTATTTCCAGAAGTCGAGTTTACAGTAACAAACACTCAGTACTTTAATGGAAAAAACTATCTTGTTCTGAACCTAAAAGGGAAACCGCTAACAAAAGGAAAATGGTTTAGACTTAAAAGTAAAGAAAGTACATTACTTGATAGTAGGGAAATAACACTATCCAAAAAAGGAGAATGCATTGAGAATGAAGCCCTGTTTATATCATCAAATACACCTCTACATAGATTCACCGAATGGGAGGTAACATTAAAAAACTATGTACTAAAAGTAGACGATAATGTTGTTAATACGGTTCCTAGTTATAAATCATTGGCTAAGGATATTTACGCTAGTGGTACAATTCCAGAAATATACAATGAGTGGAAAATAGATAATAACATATTTATCAATGATGTTCTATATCAAACGTCATTACATCAGGTTCTTAATTTAGAATCCGCGAAGAGTACAATCGTCAAAATATTTGATGGGATTTATGGACAATTTGTGGAACCTGTATTTGAAATTTATCAGAAGTCACCTACAATTAGGTCTCTTGTTCGATTTGAGGATTACTATGTCATCCATTCATTTCTTTCGGGGTATTTGTTATTGGATGTTCATGCACCTTTACGAGTTTCTGCTGCATTACGTCGACTTGCCTTAAGACAATGTGAAACAGAGCTGTTGCATTCATCAATTACTATTTATTCCGCCGTGAATCTTTCTTTAGAAGATTTTGAAGTTATCTTAAAAATGAAAACAGGTGATTATATAAATTTTTTACAACTACAGAATTTTCATTCGAATCGGGAAATTGCTTTGAAAAATTGTAAAAATGGGAAAACATCTGAAATATTAGTTATGTATGAATTGCGTGTTAAAAATAAGGTTGGAATTGCTGATATTACTTCTGTTGTTCCTGATCCGAATATAGAATACTTTGTTCCTGAGGAAATGAAATTTATGATAATTAATAGAAATAAGGAAATGATTCAAGAAAAAGATGTTTTTGTCATGACACTTGAAGACTATAAATTACCAGTTGAGAAACGAATTGTTAATTTAGTGAACGAACTAAATGAAATATTGTCTAGCGATACTAAATTTTATGTTAATAGTTAAATATGTTTGGTAATTTTTTTAATATAATACTTTACCGCGTTTATAAAGAATTACCATTACTATTAAATATAATTACAACTAGGTTTAGTTGTACATACATTACAACTTTTTTATAATTGTTAATTAGAAAATTGTAACTTTATTTTTAGGGAGAATTTAAATAAAAAAATTGAGTGCAGCATAACTGTTTAATTGACCTCTGGTTCCTATTATATTACTAATTAGCTGGACACACTTTTTCTATGACTAGTGATTTATTTGTCAGTTGCAAGTGACTACATTTGTTATCGATACAATTATGTTGAGTGATTAATTATCCTCTTCCGGTGCCAGAACAAACGTATTTATTCAACAGTGTTTAATTTAATTTATGCCGTAATGTGTCTTAAAATAATTCCAATAATAAATAGTTATACACGTGTAATAGAAT